GTGTCTGCTCCTTCCTGCTGTTTGGCATGATTGCAGGCAGGGCCCCAGAGAGGAAGAGGTGGCCCCCATCTGACTGTTGTCCCTGTGTTCTAATAAAGATCATTAGCAATTGCTGTGTGCTCAGCATTAGCTTCAGGTCTTTGTGTCCTTTCCAGCCCTCCTGGAGCCTGTACCAGCCCCACACAGCACACACCAGGACTGTCCTCTTCCCCTCCCACATGTGACTCTGAGAACATCCCAGTGTGTTTGGTAGCACCCGGACACCTGGGTCACCCCACCCCTCCTGCTCCCCGTCTGTCAGACTCCAAAGGCGGTGCTCATTCTGCGATATGTGGGAAACTGCAGGGAGCCAGAGGCATGCTGCGCTAAGGTGGGCAGATACCTGTTGCACAAGCCTTGCATGGAGCTGGAAGATGAGTGAAGAACACAGTCTCCCATGTCCACTGCCACAGCCATGGTGCATGCTGGGTTGAGGTCCTTGGTGCCAGGCATCCTGAGCACTTCTGGTAGTGCAGTGAGCCTTGTGCTCCTATGGCCAAGGGGCTGGGGTGAACAGGACTGTGGTGGGGGTGCTGGCACCACATCAGGGGTTGCAGGCTTGGTATCTGACAGCAGGTGAGCATGCTGGTTTTCTGATCAGAGCAGGACCTCTCCTTTGGGGGCAGTGGGTTGCCTAGTGTGCCTGGCAGCTCAGCCCTGATGTGAAGACACTGACTTGCAGCTGAGGGCTGCCGAGCAGAGATGCCGATCATCACAGGGAGGTCACAAAGGGTTTGCGTGCTGAACAAAAGGGCCTTTTTTCTCTCCTCTGCCTCCAGAGCAATTGACCGAGAACTGTGCACAGCGCTGCCAAGCCCAGGAGCAATGCTAGGGCTGTCTGGGCTTCCCCCCACCCTCTCCCTCCCAGTGGTGCACGCATCATTAACGTTGTTATTGTTGCTGTGATGGTTGTTGTTCTCAAGGTTTGTGCCTATGACTTAGAGAGTCTGCAGGAAGGCGCCTGGCAGGGCCTCAGAGGCTCCTGGAGGAGCAGCTCAGGCAGGAAAGGAAGGCACGTAACTGCTGGAAAGGTTACAGCAGGCTGCACTGTGGGGAGGGGAATGGTCAGTGGCTAGAGGAGGGCCTCCCCCGCCTCCTGCTGGCTGGGGTGAGTGAGGTCAGCGAAGATGCTGAGCCTGGGGTCTTAGCTCTTTGCACCTCATCTCCCTGAATTCATCCATGGCCTGATGTTTCACTCTCCTGCTGGGTGGTTGGCAAAGCTGTTACTCCTTTCCCACACAGGTCAGCTGTTGGGATAGGGCCTTCAGATATCTGGCGGCCTCACCTACCATTCCCACCAGCTTTTCTGCACTGTGGTCTGTCTGAGGACCATGGTCATTTTTGGGCTTCCCAGAGCTGCTAGGCAGTAGCCCACCTTCCCCCTGCCTGCCCTGCCCATATCTGAGATCAGATATTCCAGGATCCCCCTTGCCCCCGGTGAATGCCTGAAATTGGGCATAGTGCCAAGCCTCACATGGACCATGCCTATGATAAAGTTTAATACAAGAGGTTAGCAACACAAAGTACTAATGATAATGGTGGGCAGGGATGCCCTGTGGCTTCGCCAGGCCAAAGGTGGTTTTGCATCTCAGGTGAGAAAGTGGAACAGCTTGAGGCTTCCTCCTTTTGCTCAGAAGAGCATGTCATTTATAAGTTAAGCACCGTTTATTTCTGGAATTTTCCATTTGATATTTTTAGACCACCACTGACTACGGTGATGGACATTGTGAATGACAGGAGGCTAACTGTGGGTGACTTCCCACAGGTCAGGAGTGTGACAACGGATGTGATTTGTCATGTTTGTGGAGCAGAACATTTTCCCAGGGCTTTTGGTGACCCCCTGCCCTCCGGAGTTCTTAACTTTGGGGGGTGCAGATGAGGGTGGAGATACCATGGGCTCCTCTCTGCACCCAAAAGTCAGGCTAGGCCAGCTGCAGCGAGTTCCCACCCAGCCTTCTTCCCCTTTGTGGTTCCAGGCAAGGTCTGCCTGCTCAGCATTTTTCTGGTTGAGTTCAAGTTCTATGCTGTGTGGTAGGATATATCGAGACTTTGGCTTGTTGAGCACCAGGTGGCCCTGGGGCAGGTGACCCTAGGGATCAGTTGACTTTCAGGAAGGAAGTAGACACTGCCCTGGTCTCTGGCTTAGCTGAGGCCTGTGCTGCTTTGGAAGTGTAGGTCCCTGCCAGCCTCAAGCAGAGCTTGGCCTGTAGGTCAGAGTACTGTGTGCTAGGCCAGCACAAGCTGTTTTTCACGACTGGTCAGAGTGAGAATTAAAAACCGAGCAGTGAGGTGAGGTGTTTTCCCAGTAGTTTTTTGTTTGTTTGTTTGTTTGTTTTCTAATTCCCTCCATCATGATGTGCATTCAGCTGTGGACTCTAGCCTGAAGTCCAACCGCTGTCTGGGAACAGCAGGTGGCAACCTGGAAGAGCCTTTAGGTGGGCTCTGAAGGTGGCCTGCATGAGGCCAGTGGGCCCCTAGGCATCATGCCTAGCTCTGACACGTGGAATGGAGGAGAAAGGGCTGCATTCTGAGAGAAGGAGCTTTTGCATCCACATGGCAGGTTGTACGTAGACACACCAGTATATGGTCTTGTTTCTGTCTTCCATTCCGCTGAGCCGGAAGTTTGTGATATAGATTAGATAACCAATACTGTCAGAGTGCATGCTGATGTATCAGGCATGTTCAATAACTTACTGCATTGCCTCCTTGCAGGAGTTCCCGGAGGGAGGTGTTATCATCCACATGTCAGGCACCCGGCATATAGCTGCTCGAGGTGTCTAAACTCCTGAAAAGGAAGAGCTGAGACTCAGCCCTGGTTTGCACAGAGACTGGGGTCCAGATACCAGCTCTTCTTAATCCTTAACCATGCAATGCTGGGAAGGTTATTTCTTTGCAAAATCCTTCTGAGATCCTAGATTCCCTCCCAGGGCTCTCAAGCACTTCAGATACTGGTTGCCTCATGGTACAGAGCACATTCCTCCATGACTGTCTCATGAGGTTGGATCCTTCATTTCCTGGGTTCCACTCCCCTCTCACTTTTCATGTGCTTCTTATTTCCATCCAGCAAAGGTTTCAGGAGCACCCTGAGGGAGGGTGCCCCAACTGCTATTGGAGCAAATCTGATCCCAGCTGGTGGAGGGTTTGGCTGGGTCCAGAACCCCAGTTGGAAAGTGTACCCTTGATGACTGGAGGTGACAGATCCTTGCCGGCTGCTGTGCTGGACAGCAGTTTGGGGCCACATCTGCCTCCTGTGGAGTTTGCTTCTATGCAAAACCTATAGGACCCTTTTTTGGCAGTGTTTGGAAAGTTTTCGGTGATATACCTCTTGTTTTTGTTTTTAATTCATTTGGATTTTCTTGTTTGTTTTTAATTAATTAACTCATGGGGCTGGACTTTATACTGAAGACTCATCCTTCCGTTCTCATCAACATTTTCTTGAGCCTTTCTATATATGTGCATATATACATACATATATATATATTTCTTGTTTGTTTTCTTTTTTTACGTTTTTATTGCTTGAAAGGGCAAAGTGACAGACAGGGAGAGATAACAAGATCTTCCCTCTGCTGTTTCATTCTTTAGATGGCCACAGTGGCCAGAGTTGAACAAGGCTGAAGCCAGGAACTAAGAACTCCAGTCGTCTTCCATGTGGGTGGCAGAGGACCAGCTGCTTAGGCCATCTTCCACTGTTTTCCCAGGCACATTAGCAAGGAGCTAGATCAGAAGCAAAGGAGCTGGTACTTGAACCAGCATTCTAATATAGGATGCCAGTGTTGTAGTTTGCGACTTAACCTGCTGTACTGCAACACTAGCCCCTCTTATTTCTTCAGTTCTATATATCCAGCTCTGGTTATTCCCACAATCATTTTAGTATCTGAGAGTTCTTTTTTGTTCTCTATGACTGTTTCTTTTTCATAGCATTTTGTTCTCATTTTATGAATGCATGTTATTTCTCGGAGAATAAGGGTTATAATTTTGTTCTTTCCATTTTCTTTTTCTGCATTTCACATTCCTACTGGTATGTTGGGGGCTGGCTTCTGTGTTGAGACAGAGGATCCTGGGGAAGGTGTTTGTGTGAAAGAGCAGGTGCTTGCAGGTGGCTAGCATCTCCGTGAGCATGAGGGGAAGGGCACTTGTTTGCTGGGAGCACCTGCAGTGGAGGCTTGAGTGGGAAATCAGCTGCTTTAATCACCACCTTCAGGTGGTTTCCCCAGAGAATTCCCTGATGTCTGGCTTGGGGAGTGAGACTGGCAGGCAGCATGCTGGGAAAAGAAGGGTGATGTTGCATACCAGGGCTTTGGAGGGAGTGGTGGTGTCCAGGTGCAGTTCATATTTTTCCACTGATCTCTGCTGTCTAAGGGTGGTCCTTACCCTACTTGCACCCCACCACAGCTGGCATCTCCTTTGTGGTCCACAAAAGGGCTGGGTGAGGCCTATGCTCTGCTCACCATCCTCCCTCTTCCAGCATTCAGCCCAGCCAGCCCTGTGCCTGCAGAGGTGCTGATGCCTCCAGTTCCCAAGGCTTCCTAAATTCCCTGTTGGCTAGCCTCCTGAGATCTCTCAGTGGAATGGGAGTAGCCCAGAACCTTTCCATGTACCCCTCCCCCATCCTATATTCTGTACATGCTGACCTCCCTGGTCAGTGCAGTGGGTGTTTTTAGGTGGCGCAGAATTTCCATGTTACTCCAGGGTATGGCCTTTGGGGCTGTGTGGAATACAGACCTGCAGTTCTTGATTGATGGATGGGTCATGATGTGGTGTGCATTTGTGGCCTGTGCAGTGTGTGCAGCTTTGTGGAAAGGCATGGGGAGAATGCGAGGGGCTGGAGGTGGCATCTCTGAGGCTGCAGAGACTGTGTGGTGCTCTCCTTCCGTGGGAGCACAGCCCATTGGCTGTCTCTGATTCCTCCTTGGGCCAGGCGGGAAGCAGAACCTTACCCTCCTTGTCACCTTCATCCCCAGGTGCTGCTACTGGCCTGGCTGTCCGCAGCGAAGGTCTCCTCACTCATTGAGAGAATCTCTGATCCTAAGGACTTGAAAAAGCTTCTCAGGACCCGAAATAACGTGCTAGTGCTTTACTCCAAGTCAGGTGAGTGCCCTAGGTCCTGGGGCTACCCATGGGGTCAGCTGGGATGAGATGGGAAGGGGGCAGGCAGTAGCAGGAGGTGGCACACTGAATGCAGGATTTCCCAGCATCCCCAGGAGTTGGTGCTGAAACTCTCAGGGGCCTTGCCTGCCACTTTTGGGCTTCCAGTGGGTTCTTTGGGCTCCTTTCCAGTGGGTATTTCTTAGGAGAAGACCTCTGGAGCGCCATTACTCCCTGGGGAAGGAAAGGGCAAGAATGAGAAGACAAGAGCTCCACGTGGTAGGCTCCCCGGGATGAACTCTCAAACTTCCTGCTCAGCCCCAGGGGCGTGCCTCAGCTGCCCTGGTGACCGCTAAGCTGGCCTTTGACCAGCTGAGTTGTTCCCATCACACACATGAGACTAATCACCCTGGCCCTGTCCAGCCCCCACCTGTCCTACTCTGGGGTCAGACTTGAGACTGAACCTGAGGTAGACCCCAAGTTTGTAGCAATTTCCAAAGCTGTAGAAGCCTTATAGAGGGGACAAGATTTGTGCCCTGCCAGTCTTCTGACCTTGAGGCTGGCATGGGCCAAGAGAGGTCCGCTTGGCTCTTGGCAGTGACTTTGGGGAGGGGTGAGTGGCTGGTGGTTGGTGCGGTTCCAGCAGAATGAAGTGGTTTGAACTGCTCCCAAGGATGCCAGGTTTCCCGTGCCTCTAGAGAAGCAGCGAATGGCCCTTGGCCGGGCCAGTTCCGGGTGCAGCCCTCCCTCTGGCAGCTCAGTCCGTGACACTCCCTGGCACTGGGGCCTGATGGATGTTTTCAGGCGTGTGTCTCTCCCAAAGCCTGTGACCTTCGGGCATCCCTGGCACATGGCTCTGTTCCTTGCCACTTGCTGCTCCTTCCCCTCCCTGTGGCTGGCATACACTTCCCTGACTTTGTTGTCGAAAGTCAGCATGCAGCTGTAGCAGTCTGTGCAGTCAGCAGGTGGAAGAAACCAAGGCAAGAGGAAAGCAGTGTTTCTTTCCCTTGGGAGTTTCTGGGGTGTAGGGGGCTTGCAATAAACATGGCATGGCCCCTTGGCACTGTGGTGGTTGTCAGGGCAGGGTGTAGTCTGTCCTCTCTCCAGAGCAGAGCCCACAAACAGAGCTCACTATCTCTTAAGGGGAAGCTAAGAGAGAAATGGACCAGTTGGAGATCGACCGGCCAGCCCATGGAGTGTGGGGCTGGTCCTCCATGCTGCCTCTGCTTCCTGTTTGCTTGGATAGAGGGCAGGGAAAAATGGTATCTGGCATGGGGCCAGCGTGAGACTGAGACCAGGCTATCCTTATGGTGGGCTGCAGCATGGGGAGATTGGGGTTTGTTCTCGTGTTAGCACTGTGTGGGGCAGGAGGCAGGGCTGGAATATTGTTGCTGTCTGTCTCTCTTTCTGTCCCTCCCTTTTTCCCTCCCTCCCTGCACTCACCCTCTGCCCCTGTGGACAATTGAGCCCCAAGTGCTGCCCCTTTCAGGCTCCTGCCTGCTTTGGGACGTTAGCCAGCAAGGCCAGGATGAGTCTCTGACCCCTTCTGCCTCCTGCTGTTATGTGCCAGTCAGCAGTGAGGACTTCAGAGGTTTCCTCCCCCTTCTTCCTGTCCTTCCAGGCCTGCCTCCTGTTTCAGTGCTGGAGCAGGGGTTCCCCCCATGGCGCTGCTGATTCCTCCCCTCCCTGGTGCTGGCCGCCATTGGGGCTCCTTGCCCTCCTCCTGCCTCCTGGTGGTGGTTGTCTGGGTGTGCCTCTTACCTGACTGGGAGAGGCTATGCCATGATGTGTGCATATAAGGCTCAGCATGCCTTGATTCACAATGGGTTCCCCTAGTCTGCTCAGTAAGAGGGCAGCTCTGTGGGGCATGCAGTTCTTGTGGAGGTATGCTAGGCCTTTGAAAATTTTATTTGAAAGGCAGAGTTAGAGAAGGGGAGATTGAGATGTCTTCCATCCATTGGTTCACTCCCCAGATGGCCTCAATGACCAGAGCTGAACCGATCTGAAACCAGGCGCCAAGAGCTACTTCCAGGTCTCTCATGTGGGTACAGGGGTCCAAGGACTTGAGCCATCCTTGACTGTTTTTCCAGGCCATAAGCAGGGAGCTGGATCATAAATAGAGCCACCAGGTTTCAAATTGTTACCCATGTGGGTTGCCGGTGCCTCAGAGTAAGTCTTTACCGGCTACGACTCTGTCCTAGAGTTTTTGACAGAAGACAGTGGGAGGTTCTCCCCATCAGCCTCTGCCTGATAGCCCCTTCTGAGAGAATTCACAGGTGTCAAACAGTGGAGCGGGATGAGGGCAGGGATCCAACACAGGGCTGAGATCCGGGCCACAGCTTCGTGGTAGTGTCTGGGTGCTTTTTGTGGTAGTGTCCTGGTGTCACCCAGGCCCACAGGGATGGATAGCTAGGTGGGTGAGAAATGTCCATCCCACCCTTGTGCCTGCAGCTGACCCTGAAGATGTCACCATGGCTGGCTCCTTCCCCAGGGCTGCTGGGAATGGTGGGCTGTGAACTGTTGCCTGAGGACACATGGCATGGGCCCACAGGAGGCTGGTGTCACACCTGGACCTCGGGTTGGGGCACACAGATATGGACTTTGCTTCTTTGTTTCAGAGGCGGCAGCTGAAAGTCATCTCAAGTTGTTGTCCACGGTGGCCCAGGCAGTGAAAGGACAGGGCACCATCTGCTGGGTGGACTGCGGGTGAGTCCCAGGCCCGGGGTGGGCTGTGGGCAGGGGGTACACCTGCCAGGAGAGAAGGCAATGTCCCCTGCACCTGGATACTCAGCAGTCATCTCTGGCCATCTCTCTGGGGTGGACTTCTGTGTCACAAGGGATTTGGGGACAAAGCTACATGACAAGTTGATGACCTCAAGCTGGTTGCCCAAGTTACAGAGGCTTGAAGGAGATCAAGTTTTTTTGACCAACCCCTGAAGGAGGCAAATTGTAGCTGTGGGAACAGGGGAAGTGGAGTTTCCTCCCACCTCCAGCTTCACTTCAAGCCTAGCTGGTCAGGAAAGTCTGCTCACCAGCTAGCCAGTACTTTTCTTAGATTAATTAATTGATTAGTAAGTTAAAGTGAGTGAGAAAGACCCAGAGAGAAATCTTCTTATCTACCAGATCACTTCCCAAATGGCCACAATGGCTAGGTCTGGACCAAGTGGAAGCTCCACCCAAGTCTCCTACATGATTGACAGGGGCCCAAGCACTTGTGCTGTTCACCATAGCTTTTCCCAGGCACATTAGCAGAGGGCTGGATTGGAAGTGGAGCAGCTATGGGCATGGAAGGCAGCAGCTTCATTTGCTGTGCCACAGCACTGGCCCCAGCTGGCGAAATGTCAGCCAGCAGTTAGCTCTCTTGTCCTGTCTTCCTGGTGTCTGTGTGTCTGCCATGTTTGACTGGCATGTGCTAGGTGACCAGCAGAGTGCCGGGACCGACTATGGGGGACACTTTGGCATTTCCTGTCATGCTGATGGAGCTGCGCTGTTGGTGTATGGGTGGCACAGGTGTGAGCAGGTGCTTTGCTTGAGTTGCAAGTATCCCTGGACACTTGCTGTGTGTGGTGGGGATACACAGTGTCCTCAGGGAGCACTGCGCACAGGGGCGAGGAGTGGCTGTGTAGTCCCATAGCACCAGTTCCAGGGCCATGTGCTGTGCACAGGTGCTCCATGTTTGCAGGGTGAGTCCTTTGAGCCTGCCTGGCCAAGTTAGAAACAGCTTTGCAGAGGAGGTAAAGTCCCAACTTTGGGCAGAGAGCTCAAAGTCCCACGTGCTGGGAGTGCCCTGGCTATGCCCTCTGCAGCCGTTGGCTCTGCATGTAGAGGTCGGAGTCCACCTTTGTCAGGCATGAGAAGATACCCTAAGCTGGGTGCCGAGCCAAGTGGGGTCATGGCTGGTGCGTGAAGACAGGCCAAGAGGGATGGAGTTCAGGATTGAGGTTTGGAGACTCAATGTCTGCCGTTAATGGAAGTACCAGCCGGAAAACCCTGTGTGGGCAGGTGTGCTAAAAGCCCAGAACTGGTCAGGGGCCTATCTGAGAGCTTGAATGCAAAAGGGCAGATTGTCTCAGGTTGTCAATTACTGGGTGAATTATGGATGACACTGGAAGCAGGAAGATGTGAATCTGGGATTAGAGGCATGAGTCAGCTAAAGCTTTCCACTAGCAGTAAGGGCATGGAACTCCAGCTACAGTCCACATGTCAGCTAATAGGGGGAATTCTGATCTGTCATCTGCCCTTGTCTATTCTCTCTCTCTCTCTCTCTTTGCCAGACTGTTGGCCTGATCCTGTCAGTCCCCAAGGGAGACCACTGGATTCACTCTGCAGCCCTCTGCTCTTGTCCCTAGTGTGTGCATTCCATCTGTGAGCCTGGGACTGGAATGTTCCCAGGAATGGATGGAGATGGCCTACGTGGCATGGAACCTACAGCAGAGTAAAACAGCAGATGGTCAGCAGGACACACCTGTCCAGAGCAGGCTGGACCCTGCTCAAGTCCCACCCCTTGTTTGTTCCAGCACTGGCAGGTCGAGCGGGGATGCCAGGGCCTGACCTGGGTTGATTAGGAAAGGCAGGCTGAGCACAGCACTTTGCATTTCCCCTTTAAGTGGTTGGGGAAGAGAGAGGAGGACCCTGAGGAGTCTTGGCTAGTGCCAAGAGGTGGGGAGGAGGCAAGGCCTGGGCCAAAGGGTCGGCTCCTGTATGTCAGACATGGTGGTTGGCCCAAGTCATCCTCTATAACCTGGAGACAACAGCACAAGTTCTCTCCAGGACCATGGTGAGAATGGGGCAAATGAAAGTTCTGGAATAGAAAACATGATCTATACATGAGGTACCTTCTGCAGCTGTTATTGTTTGTTTGGGCAAGATGGTTTGGGAAAAGGCTGGGGAGATGGGGGGTAGTTGCTGGAGAGAGTTTGCTCATTCAGCGCCTTTTCATGGGGCCAGGATTCCCTGTGAGTCCAGCTGACAGAGTAGCCTAGCTATGACCCTGAGGAAGCCTGGGGCAGAGTGGGATTTGTAGGACTGTGGGTCAGGAGATTTGATTTGGTGTTCGGGCAGTGGCATCAAAGAACCGTAGGAGCCAGCGAGAGCTGCTGCCCTCTTCTGGGCTGCAGTTTGAGCCCCTGTGAACTGTGGAGTGGAATCTTCCAAGTCGCTGTCAGACATAAGTAACCTGGTGCAAAAAATGCTAGAAGCTGTCTGATCCAGTGTGTGCCTTCCAGCCACTGTACCTCTTCCTTGTGTCTCTCCCAGTTCTGGGCATCTCCCGTCCCTCTCCCCGTAGCTCATTTCCATGAATTCATCCTGGAAGGGAACTGGGTTGCTGCGTCTCCCATGCTTTTGGTCTCTCTTCTCCTCCACTGGGTATTCTCTTCTCTTCACTTATGTGTCCCTTTCCTCCCCTGTCTACACATGCACCTCTAGAGACACACACACACACCCCTCTCTGTTTTAGTTTGCTTCCTAGTCCCAGAACCTCTCTCTCATGGCTTCCATCCAGGAGCTTGTCCTCTTTCCTCCCCGCCTCCACCTCCTGGCTCAGACCTCAGCAGCCACACTCAGCTTGGCTGTTAAGTGGGTTGTGTGTGAGGGAGTTGGTATTCCTTTCGTGCCTTGCCCGCTGGCGCTCAGGCTGGGCCTTGGCCTGGATCGCTGCTGTCTGGGAAGCTGAGCTGAAGCCAGCCGCAGATGCTGTGCCTGCTGTTGCTCATTCTTGAGGCTGTCTAAACCAGGGGCCAGACCGGCCAGTCAGGGACTTGCTGCTTTCCTTCCCTGAGGGTTCTGGGTATTTTGCTTTTCTTCCCTCCTGTTCCTCTCCCTTGTGCTTCATTTCCCTGGAGCAGCAATGGCTCTCCAAGATGGTTAGGGGCCTACCAATGCAGGTGTAGTGTACTTTCAAAGTCTTGGGTTTTCTTCTCAAGGTTGTTGGATTTTAACATTTGCTCCTTTATAAAGGAACCATGTCCAACATGACTCAGCCAGGGGGTAAAGTCAACTCCCAGAAGTGCTGTGCTGATGTGTGGCTTCAGATTCCTCTGACATATACATCTCTGTGCACGTGCTTGGGTGCTGTGTCCCCACCAAGTAGTAGAACGTCAGAGTTGCTGGGCTTGGAAAAACAGTGTGGAGGGGTTACCTGATGTTGTCAGAGGGAAGTCGCATTCTTCTCTCTCTGATTGCCATTGCTCTGACAACAGGCAAGTCTGGTAGAATCCCTGCAGGAGACCCTTCACGGACACCAAGGGCTCAGCCGTTATGTGATGGTCCTGTGCCTGGCCTCACGTGACAACTCTGTGCTTTGTCATTGTCCTTGCTGTGGGGCACTGTGTACAGTTACATTCAGAATATCCTTTCCTCATGTTCCCTGAAGCAGGGACACTTCCTGCTTTTCTTCCCCACCCTGTTCCCAGAGATCACAGATTCCCATGCTCGCAGCCTGTCACTTCCAGCTTCGGAACCTAGTTGGGGTCACCGAGGGAAGAGTCAGTGGCTGGGGTGGCTGCAGTCTTTTTCTGCTCCATCAGCAGGAGAGTGGTTGTGGTCTGCAGTGAGCATCAGAACATGGACAGTGGCTGAGCTGATGGATGGCCAGGAGAGAGATGACCGGATCTGGAGACACTTTAAGTCTTCTTACGGGTCCTGGTCCATCTCTCAGGATATAGGGTGGCATGTTTCTGCTGTGCTGTGAACCCTGTGGAGGGTTCAGAAGCTCCATTAGCTTATGTGAGTCACAAGGGCATTCTAACTCTGGAAACCTAAGGCCCCACCTTCCTCCAGGGAAATTTCAGTCTTAAGTCTGTGGGTTGTGAATGAAGATATCACACTGCCTTAGCCCCCAGCACCTGTTTTTTCTCTTTCATCCAGCTCTTCTCTTGCCATCCCACCTGTCATCTCTGGGACTGGCTCCCAGGAGTGTAAGTCCCCAGTCTCTTGGGTGATTATTATTATGTGTGAAGGGCTAACAAGCACTACGTTATGCACCTGCAGCAGCCACTCGAGGCAGGCAGCCAGCACATCCCATGGGAGCAACACGCACACGTGTCTGTATGGGGCTGGGAGGTAGGAGGTGGGGCAGGGAGTGAGGTGTGTGCAGCTCCTGGTCTCACCCTCCATGCTTTCTGCAGAGGAGAGTGGCTGGGATGGGGCAGGTGGGTGGCCCTGACACCTTGCTCCCTGGAACACTGTTTGGTCATGAATGGAGGAAGGTAGGGCTCAGCCAACTTGAGGACAGGGCCCAGGAAAGGGCTTTTACATGGCCACAACCATCCTTCCTGATGCAGGATCTTTTCTCCACCACCCGCAGTTCTAGCGAAACACTCATCTCTGCTCACTGCCTTTGTCTCTTTTTTTTTCTCCTGCAAGACCCCAGCCCCTGGTGGGAGGAGGAGGCAAAGGCAAGAGATCAATTAATTGTCCTTCTTCTATCAATGCTGATCCTTTTAAGTCCCTGAGCTTGGTTAATATTCTCCCCTTCTTGAACTCTTATGCCTCTTACTGTCTGCACTGAACAAATGGTACAAGCATCTGTGTGCATACTCACACATAACTGAGAGACAGATGTGTAGGAGAGAGGGGAGAGGAGGAGTTGCCCCTGGGCAGGATTCCTGGCGCTCAGGAAACAAGTGCACACTCTCGTCCTAGCAGCAGCATGACCAGACAGCTCCACCAAAGCCTGTCCTGGGCTCACAGTGGTCCCTAGGGCTGCAGCAGTAGCCTGGCAGGGATTGGGGCAGGGCTGACCTGCACCCCAGCCCTCTTCCCTCCGCTTGCTGAAAATCACATGCCAAGGCTGATAGATGAGGACGAGAACTCTCCTCTCTGCCCCTAGCTTATCCCTTCTCTCTGGACTCCCTCTGTCTTAAAATGCCCTTGCACTCTGGGGAAGAAACATAACAAGGTTGTTAGTCTCTGCTTTTGGTATCCCCACTGTTTGCCTGTGATTAGACAGCTGGGACTTGCACAAGGGGTTCTGGGGAAGGAGGGTCCAGTGACCATTCCCTAAGGAACCATGTACCTCTCCACCCCATCTCTGGTGAAATCTCACTTCTTGACTTGCACACTGCTTCTTTGCCCTTATCAAGAGCTTCCAAAGGTTTGCTTGTCTGCTGCTGCTGAGGCTTGGTGTTAGGACTGCGTGGGGTGATGAGTCCATGTGTTCAGCTGTGAGGCTGACAGCTGTGGGTGGAAGTAGGATGTGTAACAGGTGGAAGAGGAAGTCACTTTCCTCAGATGGCTGTCATGCCTGGTGCAACAGAGCTGCTCCACAGCCCCCCTGAAGTGCCCAACTGCTGTGCAGCCATGGTGGTCAGCAGGTGCCAGTTGCTCTGGATGCTTTCAGACCTGAGAAGTGGGCCCTCCAGCAACAACCAGGTCTGGGGTACCTGGCTGCCTAGTCTCTGGGGTACCTGCCATGTGCAGTGAGGCTGGAGAAGCTGTGAATGTAGGCAGGGCTGGTGTAGAGCTCAGGCGGGACCCAAGACCTTCACAGGTAGATGTGTCGGAGGTAACCAGGGAAGGATGCTGGTCTAACACATGGTTCCCAAACTTGAGCTTGCACCAGAATTGCCCACTTGTGTTGGTCAAACACAAGTGCTCAAGTGTCCCCCGTATCTTTGGATGTGCTTGGCCTGGGATGGAGCTGGCAGCTGATGTTTCTGATGTGTCTCTGGGTGATGCTCATGCCCTCGGTCCAAGGATCACACTTTGAGAAACAATGGACTAGGAAGGAATTCAAGTTAGGTGAAGTGGTGCTTGGGGTACAGTGATGGTCACCTGGTAGATGCTGCTAGAATGTTGCATTGCTGGTGTGAGGGAGGAAGTCGTAACCTTTCTCCTTTTGGCTTTCCTCAATTCCTCATCAGATTTCTTAGCTTCCTCCATATAAGAGACTGCTTTCTTCCAATCCTGGTCTGAAGATAGAATAGTAGATGGCAGATAGTTTTGTTGCCTTTAGGGAGTGTGAACCAGCAGATGGGAAATGTTCTTGCTTGCCTGCCTGATTCCAAATTAAAAAAATAAATAAATACATTAAAAAAAATATTTTCACACATCTTGTTTGATCCCAGCCCTCCCAGACATGCTAAGGGAATGAATTGGGAGGACAGGGACTTGGTTCTCTCTGCATTTTCCCAGGGAAGCCCCTGGGACTGGAGCTGATTCTTCATGTGACAGTGGCCACTCAGCCACAGTGCTTTCCAGGCCTGTCTGTGCGGCCTCTCACAAGCGGTGGTAATTATCACCCTCCACCTGCTCATTCCTGTCTTTCCTGATCAGCCCACATCTTGTCGACACCTCTTCATCCTCCAGTCCTCTGAGAACCGTCTCCATGAGTTCATCGACGGCAGTTACAGAGGCCAACGTGGTGCCAACATCACCAGCATATGACTTGGACCATCCGCAAATTTTGCTGTCAATACCTCCATGGCGACTGCAGATAACCGATATATCCCAATGTTTGTGTCTTCCAGGGATGCAGAGAGTAGGAAATTGTGCAAGAAGATGAAAGTTGACCTGAGCCTGAAGGACAAAACAGTCGAATTGTTCCATTACCAGTGAGTACACGCGAGCCTCTCCACTGTGCACAGAAGCACGGCAGGCTCTGCTGCATGCACGGCAGTTTCCAATTACAGTCATTGTATCTCCAGAGGTTTTATTTTTTTTTTCTCCAGTGTGTACAGTTCTATTAAAAAAAAAAGATTCCTGACTGTGTTCCGTTACTGAGTCTCTGAGATACTGCAGGGAGCCACGACTGTGTGTCTTTGCGTGGCCTTTCTGTGTACTGATGTCTTTTTCTCCTCACTCAACAGAGACGGCGCATTCCATATGGAATATAATCGAGCCCTGACATTGAAGGTAAGCGCCCCATGGAAGTGCAGCTGCATGGGTGCCTGGCATTTGGCAGGCTGGCCCCGGGACAAGGAAGGACCCTGTGGCACAGATTGCTCATCTGAGGGACTGAAGCCTGTGTTGTGTCACCCCAATCCCCACCCCTAACCCCTAGCACAAAGGGCAGCAGGGTATCCAGAAGAGTTTGTAACTGATGACACTTGGCTTAGTGGATGAGTCCACAGTTATCCATGGAGGTGCAGCCTGTACCCTCTCCCCAACCAGAGGCCTGGCCTCCTTGGGGTGTGGCTCCAGGACCTTCTTTCACCTCCATGGAGATGGCTGCTGTGGCACCCTGGATGCTGGAAGGGACTTCCTGTGCCAGGGTTAGTGAGCACAGGGAGCTTCATGCCGATGCAGATTGATCCAGAGGAGACATAGCCCTCTGCAAGATGTTTCCTGCCACCACCATGATCCTGAAGGAGACAAAACAGCCTAGCCCTGAGCCCTTTCCCAGCTCTTAGCCTTCAAGCTGGCCTTCTGTTCCTGGGTCAGGCGACATGACCTGCTTTACCTGGGATTGTGTGATTCCTCTGGTCCCAGCAGGGGTTGAACCCACTTTTCCTGACTCCTGCTTTTCAGACTGGGTCAGACCCTGGACTCCCATCTTTGTTTGCCCATTCCTCCTTCCATTCTCACTGTGCAGCTGTCATGGCCCCTCACCCTCTATCCTTCTCCCTGTGTCTCTGATCCATCTTCCCAGGTCGCTGATTTCTTGTTTACCCACCAATTCTTTTTTTAAGAAATTTATTTATGCGTTTGAAAGTCAGAGTTACAGAAAAGAGGGAGAGGCAGAGAGCTTGCCGGTTCACTCCAAAAGTGGCTACAAAAGCTAGGACTAAGCCAGGAGTTCCATCCAGGTGTCCCATGTGGGTGGCAGGAGACCGAGTACTTGGCTGGCTTCTGCTGCCTTTCCCAGGCCATTAACAGGAAGCTGGATGGAAAATAGAACAGCCAGGATGTGATGAGTTGCTGCTGTCACAGGTGGCACAGCTTTATCCACTGGACCACAATGTCACCAGCCTCTTTCTTGCCTTTACTTCAGCAGGTCCCAGCCTGATGAACCTGCTCATGACTGCTTAGCAGTGTCTGCCTTTGCAGCTGCAGTGGCCAAGCTCACTGGAAAGCTTTCTTTCATGGTTCTCCTAGGACTCTCATCTCCAGGGAGACAGAGCAGTGCCTGGCAGGATGGGCATGTAGGCTTCAGGCTAATGTTACTGTTGTCCTGTGTGGTTGGGCAGCTCCCTCATCACAGGAACTGTTCTGAGGTCCCCAAGATGTTCGAGGCCAGATAAGTGAGAGCTTTTTATAGTAGGGAATCTCTTGTATATAGCATACATGCATACCTATATGCATACTTGCACACATGAACATACTTGCATACAGCATACACACGAATACATACACACACATGCACACCTGCATGTATACTTTTGCAGCCTTGGCATCTCAGCACATACACATTAGTGTCAATGAGGACCAGAGGTCCCAGGCAGACCCAATCCAGAAGACCCTCCATTGACCCCCCTCTTCAGGCCCCATAGCTTAAACCATGCCAACAGCTGTGAGGACATCTGAAGGCCAAGTGCAGGCCTTTGACTATTGTCTGAGCACTCAGGCGAGGGCAGCTGAGGGTGGGATGCCAGACACTGTTCCCTGCGAACATTCCAAGGTCGGTGAGACCACCTGGAAGGGAGGGATTGCAAAGATGGGATTGTTCAACTTCAGTGAAAGGAGAAAGCTCTCCACCAGAAAATAGAAGGCAGGAGCCGGGAATGCTTATTGCACAGGACAGTGCTGTAGCATAGCAGCTAAAGCTAGCATCCCATATGTCCCAAATGCTCCACTTCCCTGATAGTGTCATGGGAAAGGCAGTGGAAAATGGCCCAAGTGCTTGGGCACCTGCCACCCAAGTAGGAGACCTGGATGCAGAGGAGATCCAGGCTTCAGTTTGGCCAAGCCCTGGCCACTGCAGCCATATGGGGAGTTTTCTGGTAGATGAAAGATCTCTCTCCCTCTATGTCCCTTCCTTTTTTTCTGTAACTCAGACTTTCAAGTAAATAATCATTTTTTAAATTCTTCAAGAAGGAAGCTTTTATGGCACACTAAAAGATGCCATTTCTTTTCTCCTTCCATCCAATTCCACCTTTGTTTTCTGTTGTGAGGCCGGGGGTACTGTGCTCACTCAGTTCCTCACCTGGCTTGGGTCTTGGTCCCAGTGAGTCTGGTGGGCACACTGCATACTGTTCAGGATCTGGGGCCCACACACCCCTCATGTCCATTGGGCATTCTAGATGGAGACTCCCCCAAACCAGCAGTTTCCTGAAGAGCAGACAGAGGGGGCCTTTCAAGTGTCTTTGTTTTTTCTTTTTTTTTTTTAAGATTTATTTATTTTTTATTACAAAGTCAGATATACAGAGAGGAGGAGAGACAGAGAGGAAGATCTTCCATCCGATGATTCACTCTCCAAGTGACTGCAATGGCCAGTGCTGTGCCGATCCGAAGCCGGGAACCAGGAACCTCCTCCAGGTCTCCCACATAGGCACAAGAGCCCAAGGCTTTGGGTCATCCTCAACTGCTTTCCCAGGCCACAAGCAGGGAGCTGAATGGGAAGTGGAGCTACTGGGATTAGAACCGGGACCGATATGGGATCCCGGTGTGTTCAGGGTGAGGACTTTAGCTGCTAGGCCACGCCACCAGGCCCTCAAGTGTTTTTGTAATGTGGCCAGGTGGGCAGATGCCCCTGCAGCTTGGGTGAGTTGGGTGGCCCTACCCGTGTTGTCTCTACATTTGTCCATCAGTCACTCTTCTGCTGGGAGCTGGTTCCCAGCCCACCTGGAGAGGCAGGAAGCACTACCTGACTAAAATTCTGCCCATGTTTGGCTGCCTCCCATTTTCCCATCCTAGTTCTTTCCACAATGGAAGTTCCAGAAATAATATGCCTCATGGAGGACCTCTCATGCATTGTCAGCAGGAGCAATGAATACATAGACTCTGAAATAGCATCCCCCCTTCTCACCTCATGCCTTCCTCCTGACACACATGGATGCACACATGCATATGTATACTCATACTCACATAGTACACATGCATGTGCACACTTCATGTATGTACTTGCACTTATGCATGTTCAGATGTGTGCACACTCAGTCTGCATGTGTATGTTCGCATGTATACACACATGCGCATGACATGCTCCCATACTCTACACACAAAGATGTGCACACACATGCAGGTGCACACACAGGAACATCCCATTGGAGTTTGGCCAAAGTGGAGAAAAGCAGGGAAATCTTGCTTCATCCCTCAGTGTGGCTGCCGAGACCAGTGGCTCCTCTCTCGGCCTGGAGGGGAAGGAGCCTTGCTTTCTGAATTCTCAGTTCTCACAGATATTAAACTCCAGTCTGCGGGACTGAGGCGAAGGGAAAGCCATTTCCATGGAGCAGGTTGTGTGAGGGAGGGAAGGTGGTACCCCATGTAACTGCCCACTGTGTCCTCTGTAGGAGTGGAGGCTGGGTCAGTTGTCCAAACCAGAAGAGCTGGTTAAGCCCTGAATCTCTACTTGGGGACAGTGCAGGGAGGAGCAAAGAAAGCAATGCATTGGGCACCAGGCCTGAGCCCCTACCCACTGCATATCCCAGAGTGGGTTCTGATCCTGCTATACCATGCGGTGGTAAGTCAGTGTGCTGAGCTACTTATGGCTTGCCAGCTGACTTCAGACAAGCCAGGAAACTTCATTCAGGAGATGAGAAAGGATTTGTGGAGGAGGTGACAAGCTTGGGAACCTTCATTCAGGAGATGAGAAAGGATTCATGGGGGAGGTGATGTTTAGTGGGCTATAAGTGTCTGTCACTCTGAAACGCCAGCCACTGTCTCCAGTTTCTCCTTATGCACAGAAAGACCTCCAATAGGTGTGGGCCAGCTGACCAGAGTAAGGAAGGGTTCATGTGATGGGGGTACCCCGGTGGCGGGGGTGGAGGAGCATTGAGGGTCTGAGGCAGTGATGTTGGCAACTGTGGAATCTGCACACCTAACAGACATGGCCAGTGGTCCTGGGCCCAGTACCATGCAGGCAGCTCAGTCTCTGGGTAAAGAGGGACAAGGCTGGTCTTTCTTCTAGTGAAAATGTATCATCTCTCTTTTCCCCTCAGTCCATAGTGGCCTTCCTGAAGGATCCAAAAGGACCACCGCTGTGGGAAGAAGACCCTGGAGCCAAAGACGTGGTCCACATAGACAGTGAGAAGGTGATGTATCCTCTGGCTGCCAGGTGGTACTGGATGTGCTCCTGCTACTAGCCCCTGATCCCTAGAGGAACCCAGGGAGCAGAGAGTTGGGAGTACTGGGACCCTGCTATTCAACTTTCCTTCCCCACTTTGGGCAACATAACCAAAAGGACTTGCCATACCAACACTGAAAGTGGTCCCCTGCCATCACCAGCTTACTTACTGTGTTTTACTGTGTTTAACCTTTCCTCTCAAAGACAGAGGTGTAAGTGCCCTGGCTCTCTTGACTGTATAGCTTATGGGTTGCCAGGATTGGCTTTGCGTTTTGTTGTTGTTAAACAGTGATTTGCAAGATTTAGGTTGATTTCCAGAAGCTTCAGTCTGATCGCTGCAGTTCTTGAGTCTCTGTGTAACTGAATGTAGCAGTTACAGCTCTTAAGCTTTGGTCTCCATTGAGGGTGAAGGATGAGCCTGTCCCAAAGCCTTGGCTAGTTCTTGGAATGTTTTTTGCTTTGCTTTGTTTTGTTTTTATGACTTATTTTGATTTTGATTTTAAAGGCAGAGTTATAGACATACACACACACTCAGAGCTCTTCCATCTGCTGGTTCATTTCCCAGATGTTGCATCTGCTGGAGTTGAGCCAGTCTGAAACCAGGAGCTTTTTCTGGGTCTCGCATGTGGTTCCAGGGTACTGGGTCCCCGGGGTTCCACTGCTTTCCCAGGCCACAAGCAGGAAGTGGGATAGGAAGTGGAGCAGTTGCAACTTGAACCAGCACTCCTATGGAATACTCTTGGAGTATTTGACAGAGGCTGTGCTACAGGCCTGCCACAGCTGACCTCAGGGTACGTCTGTCCACACACACCTATGTTTCTGTCATGCTGCATCATTGCTTGGTTGTGCCTTCCCATGGGGATGGACAGGGACTCAGCTGGTCTCAGAGACCAGCAGTGTTTTTCTGTAGCTGAAGGAGGAATGCTTGCTTGCTTGATCAAACAAAGCATCCTTTTGTCTTACTCTGTCTGCTTTCCCCTTTCATTTGCTATGATTGACTCAGCGCTTTCATGCCCAAAGGGACATAATGCCTTCCTCCCCTTCGGGAAGAGGGCTCTTGTGTTGAGCCGTTCATGTGGGTGGGTGGTGATGCAGGGGCAGGTCTGGGCATCTGTCTTCTTGGGGGTAGGAAGTACAGAGGGTTGGGGAGAAGGGCAAGCATCAGGAGAGGGGGCACACATACCTGTAATTGTGCAACACCAGAGAGCCTGAGTGGTCATTGTCCCTGCAGTAAAGTTTTAGCATCTCTGAAGGTGACTGCCTGGCAGCACCTCTGCCCTTGGATATCACGTGTGTTCTGCAGCTGCGGTGCCATGCACTTGTACCTTGTCCCCTGTCATCATACCCTGTGTCCTTTTGTTCACGTAGAAATACAAGACACATGTGAAAAATCACCAAGAGCTCCATATTCAGCTATGAGTGGTGGAGTCAACTTGCACTTTGAAATATCTTTCTTTTTCATTGTACCCGAAAGGCAGGAGAGATGGAGAAAGAAGCATAAACAGAGATCTTTCATCTGCTGACTCATTCCCTCAGTGGCCACAATGGCCAGGGCTGGGCCAGGCTGAAGCCTGGAGCCTAGACTTCCATCAGTGTTTCCCATGTGGTACGGGGATTCAAGTACCTGAGCTATCTTTTTCAGCTTTCCCAGGCATGTTAGCAGAGAGCTGGAGTAGAAGCATTATCGCACCCACCCTTCAACTTGCATTTTAAATTGTATACTTGGCAAAGGTGATTAATCCTCTGTGAATGCACTATTTGTTATTGCTCAGGATATGACGGTTACAGGCTCCAGGAAACCTGTTTTTCTCACATCTTTGGCTGGCCTTTATCTCCAGGGATCCCAGAAAACAATTTTTCAAGTGTTTGCATCCCACATGCCTAGTTAGGGACACATATCTTAGGAGAATCTGAAAGGAGCATTTGTATTTGGCCCTAAAAGGCTAAATAACACAAACCTAGGAGGGGGATGCTGAGCACATACATCTGATACCAGGGACTGTCACCGGAGAATGCCAGGACTGCAGCCTTGCACAGCGGCCATGGCGGCCTCACATAGAGTACCCTTCTGCCCCTCGAGTGCCTGTGCCACCTTGGGCTGATGCTGACCTTGCCATTGGTCCTCAAACGCCCTCCCAGGCAAGGATTACCACCTTGCAATACGTTGTTACCAGCTCTTCATTTTATCTTTAAAAGTATGCCTTTCTTCATTCTCCTTTGCATCCCGTCTGTGGCTTCTGGAATGTGTGGATCCACACTACAGCCTAATAGTGGACTACTAATTCAGTGCAGAAACTTTTTGGTTGTGTCCACAAGCATTATCTTTTCCAGAATTTTGTACACAGTGATTCAGAGGCCCACAAATGTTTGCAGCCATTTTTAACCCAATTGAGAAATTTTAAATAATCTACATGTGTTGTTGGAAATGCAGAAAAAAAGACAGCCTTCCACGTGGAAGACAAATCAGCTGCATTCTGTTCTATTAAGAGACACCCACTGTGGATACTTTTGGAGCTTCCAGGCTTTTACCATGATGCATGAACATCAGTATTTTGCTCAGTCACATCACTACATCTTAGCTGCTGATTTGTAACTTAGTCCTCCCCCGACTTAATGTAGCACACATGTCTTTGCACTGTGTTAAATATTCCACACCTGGTTTTCAGCACTGCAGGAACCTTTTATCATAGGGCATTGCCATGATGCACACACCTAATTTCTCATTGTTGTCAGAAAATTATGTTTTGAAACTTTGTCTTATTTTTCTTATTCCAACAAGACAAGCCTCTTGTTTTCTTCTGTGAGACCTGCAAGAGAAGCTTGGTTTTTTTTTTCTTTTTTGTTATTTTATTGGAAAGTCAGGTATACAGAGAGGAGGAGAGACAGAAAGGAAGATCTTCCATTCGATGATTCACTCCCCAAGCAACTGCAATGGCCAGAGCAGAACCAATCCGAAGCTAGGCGCCCGGAGCCTCTCCCAGGTCTCCCATGCAGGTGCAGGGTCCCAAGGCTTTTGGCCATCCTCTGCTTTTGGCAGATTTTACAGGCAGAGGTCTTCCATCAGCTGGGTCACTCTCCAAACGGCCACAAAGGCTGGAGCTGAGCCGATCTAAAGCAGGGAGCAAGGCTTCCCATGTAATTGTAGGGGACATCCTACATTGGTTTCCCGTGTCATAAGCAGGGAGCTGAATCAGAAGTTGAACATTTGGGATAGCAACCTGTACCTACATGGGATGCCAGCACCTTAGGCAAGAATTAGCCAGGTGTGCCACTATGCCAGACCTGTAGGGGACGTCCAAACAAATAAATAAATCTTTAAAAAATATGTATCAGAGTTGGATGGGAAATGGAACAGCCAGGACTTGGACTGGAACTCATGTAGGATGCCTGTGTTGTAGGCAGTGGCTTAATTTGCTGCACCACATATGCCTCCCTGCTTATCACATATATTTAACAAGCTCTGTGTGGTCATATGCCAGGCACTATTCTTTTTTTTTTAAGATTTATTTTTATGCAAAGTCAGATATATATAGAAAGGAGACAAGACAGAGAGGAAGATCTTCCATCCAATGATTCACTCTCCAAGTGATTGCTATGGCTGGTGCTGCGCCAATCCGAAGCCAGGAACCAGGAGTTCTTCCGGTTCTCCCATGTGGGTGCAGGGTCCTAAGGCTTTGGACCGTCCTCAACTGCTTTCCCAGACCACAAGCAGGGAGCTGGATGGTAAGTGGAGTTGCCAGGATTAGAACTGGTGCCCATATGGGATCCCAGCACATTCAAGGTGTGGACTTAAGCCTCTAGGCCACTGCGCCGGGCCCCAGGCACTGTTCTAAGGAAGTCAGAAATACATGCTATGCTTGATCTTAGCCAAAAGGCCAAGAATCAATAGTCCTTTTTGCTTATTCTCCCACCTGGGTGTTTGGGTCAGGCTGCATCTTGTCCCATGGCCGTAGTGATACTCAGGCACTTGGTGGTAATGGTGGCATTGGTCCTTGGGAGGAGACCAGCAGACGTGGGTTAACCCCTGCGACTGCAATGAGCAGAACTCCATATTACCAAGTCAGGCAGCCAGGAGCCTGGCTCCTCCCTCTCAGCAAACCTCCTCTACAAGGGACAGCCTTTCAGCACAGCCCTGTGAGCCAGAGAGCTCTGTGCTGCCACTTGATGTTCTGGGGGAGCTGATGGCAAGGTCACAGCCTGGCCCTGGCTCTTGCTCTCACCCGGCCTGTGTGCCACTGTGTCACCTGTTGGCACAGTCTGGAGTCGACGATCTTGTGTTCTTCCAGCTCCCAGTATGCTGTGAACCTGCTGCATCCTCCTGGGCCTCTTGGCAGGTCCCTATGGCTCCTGCTGCTGAGAGTCCTAGCAGGCAGGAAGGGGCTGGAGGTGGCATCTTGTGACCATGTGGTAGTTGCTGGTTGCCATGCTCTCTCTCTTTGTGTTGTAGGACTTCAGACGGCTGCTGAAGAAGGAAGACAAGCCACTGCTGATGATGTTCTATGCCCCCTGTGAGTACTCTTGCTCCTGAGACCCATGTAAGGAGCTCCATCTTTGCAAATGGCAGGTGGCTAGAGCTTAGGAGAGGGGTGCTGGGCACTGCCCCACTCAGTCACACCACTCTTACTTCTGCACCTGCCACCTGCATCAGCTTTCTTTGCTGCCAGAATCAGTTCTCCTTCTACAAACACCCGAGTCTTTTGTCTGCTTCACCATGCCTTCCCCTCCCTGCTGGCCTCCTGCCTGGCACAACCATACCCTGGTCATAGGTGCCCTACTCCTCCTGTCCAGAGCCTGGCCTGCTTACAGGGGCTTCAATTCAGCCAGCTCTGTCCTTTGCCTGTCTCTGCAGCGGCCCTCAACCCCAGAAAGGCTGGGGGAGGGGAACTAGTGTTAGGGGCTGAGACCTTAGAGGAGGCAGGAAGCTGTGGGGGAAGGCAGGAAGGTTGAGATGACAACCAGAAGGCCTGATGCTGCCAACGAGCTACATGAGCTGGGTCCACCCCCTCACATCTCTGGGCCTTGGTTTCCACTGCTGGAAGAGGCAGTGCATGGGTATAGGGGCTTTCTGACAGCATCCACAGAGCTGAAAATAGCTTCTATTGTAGTCTAGGACTGTATGCTTATGTCGGTTATCTGCAATTACTTGAAACAGAAGTTTCACAAAACCATACTTTCCTCCATCCTTGCCACCTACTCTTTGCCAGCCCTAGTTCACATGGTTTCTGTCTTGAGAAAAACTGGGGGGGTCATCCCCAGTACTGCCTGGTTACCTTGCTATCAGTGGACTGGCAGCCCTGGCCTGGCCACCTTCATTGCTGGCTCGCAGCTATGCCAAGGCCTTTGCCTCCTCCTCATTCCTGCTGATCTGTGGCTGCTTTCAATAACCCACAAGGCTTCTAATTGTCCCTTGCCTGGGTCCCCCCTGCAATCCAGGGAGTCCCTAGCCCACAGAGTACTGGTCCCTGCTGCACAGCCTGGAGAGGCTCTCAGAATGGCCTGGGTGTGCTAGGAGGGGCTGTGTCCAGGCATTGCATGGTTCAGGGGCATGACAGGCAGTGTCTTCAGGCCTTTGTTCACTGCTAAAGGCCCGGGCTGAGTTCCCCCTCCATCCGACACAGGCTCCTCCCACCTGCACCCCTGCCAGATTGTGGGGGTGTCATGCTTCCTGCTCTTGACAGCAGCCTCTCCCTAGCTTCCCTCTGCACCTAACTGGTCCCAAGGGCCCGCCAGGTGTGGGAGGAGGCCCCTGCGGCCCATGTCTGTAGACCTGGTCCCACACAGGAAACCTGTCCCATTCACTGTCTTTGTTAATGTTGCCCTTTTCCTCCTGGAGGGGGCTTGTTGAACTGTTCCAGGAATTGCCTTACATAGAGCTTAACCATCAGAACTCGATGCATCAGTTAGTGGATCTGTCGAAGTGTGTGTCACAGGAAACACCTTAGCCTTCAGGGTGGTGCCTCTTATGTTCTAGAAAGAGTAACAGCTTACGCCTGAGTGTTGATGCCACCTGACCCACCATTAACGGGGCTATTGGGCTTCCAGCCAACCCATCTGTCAGAGCAGAGATGGTTATGCGTTAGAAAGTCAGGGTAAGGGCAAGTTGGGATCCTGGTGAGTGTCACAGAACATGTTCAGAGCAGGAGAAGGAGGAGAGTTCTGGGGGTTCATTTTAGGCTGGGGAGCAGGGGCAGACTCCAAGGCCTCCTGGGCTCCAGGGGATGCCAGGACTCTGTGAGTCTAGAGCCATGACATCTCCACCCAGGGTCACCAGTGTCTGTCCGCGAGGCCAGCTGCATTGGGGAGGCCTGGGGGAGGGAATGCAGGGTGTACACAAACAGAAGGGAAGGGGGCCGCGCCTATGTGGACAGGTAATCAGCTGAGCCCCTGCTGTGCAGCTCCTATCACAGTGGTAGTCACACCCAAGTCACTGAGAAGAGAGAGGGTGAGAGGCTACAGGGCTCTACTGGCTGGAGCCTCCCCCTCTCACATAGCAGGAGGCCAATACAAGGTCTTGTGTTGAACTTGGCCATCTGGATGGATGTTGAATGTCTCCTGCCAGCTAGGATCTGTCCCTCAGCCCTAGGGCTGATGCGTCTCCATTTTACACAGCCACACATGCATGTGAACACAGACAGATGCTGGAGGTTCATGCAGCCTTGCCCAGTAGGGGTTGTGGGCTGACACATGCCTAGACTTCATGCTCCCTGGGGCCATGCAGCCTATCATTTCCCAGTGTGTGGCATCCATCTGGTACCTGTCTCTGGAGTGCTGTCCATTTTTCTCCGTGAATCCATGTCCCCCAGCCTTCCTTCATATTCTGCAATGTCTGCTGTGGCACCAAGTCCCAAGGAGATGCATCACTGGTCAGCTGTGAGGAGATGCTGTGGGCTGGCCTAGTGGGAGCCCCTTCCCTCCTGACCCTTGAATCAGAGCCTGAACTAACAGCAGGGACTTCAGCCTGGGGTCACGTTGCTGTAGGGAGTGTCAGTTCTGCTGTCGGGCAAGGCCAGTTCCCCAGTGTCTTTGCCATGACTGGAGAGCCTCAGGTGTGTGTGACTCTGCTTGCAGCCAACCAGGGTGTCAGCCTGCCACCTCACAACCCAGTCCCTGCTCTGCTGAGTTAAGATGAGAATTAGCCTTTCACATGATTCTGGGCGGCTTCTATGTCTATGGCCTTCAGATACATGTGGAAACCTGTCCTGCAGGATGGTCCGTACAGACAACATGGTCTACTGCTGTCTAAGGGCAGGACAAGGTGTAGGTCAGGGTCACTCTGGCTGTTTGGGGGCCTGGACTCTCCCCCCAAGACTTGCCCCCATTATCTGTCAAAGAAGGGCGTGGCTGTCATGACCCCAGAGCCTTCAAGGGCTGAGCCACATCCTCACACAGTCCTCCTGTGTTGGAACTGGCAAGGTGGGAGGACAGGGGAGACTATGGGTGTCTGATCCAGTTCCCTTCATTTGCCAAAAGAAGAAACAGCCCAGAGAGAGGAGGTGGCTTGTCTGGGGCCGTCAGCAAATCAGGGAAGATGATAGCCCTGTGCCCGGCTCTCTGTGTGGCCCAGAGTCAGCACCTTTTGCACTTAGCTCACATCTCCAGTCATTGCTTCATTATCCTTGTTAAAGGCAAGCATGGCAATCCCAAAAGTCATTCTACATGCAGTGGCATTTCTTCCTCTCTAGTAGCATTTTTTTTCCCAGTTCATTTGCAGTCCCCTTCAGCTGTTCCTCCAGCTGTGCCTGCCAACACCTGTTCTGTTTTCTTCATTTATCCTGCATCTTATGCCTCTCCTGACCACAATGCTTGGCCCTGTTGGGTCGGCCCCTCAGGGGCTAGGGACACTGCATACCCCTCCTTCTGTGCTTTCAGGGTCTGGGACAGTCCTGAGCTCAACCCACCCAACCCTGCTTTGGGTGGAGAACAGCCCGGAAGGGGGGTTAGGGGAGGGCACCAAAACACACGGCCATGGCTGTAACTGCCTTTGGTTTCTCTTTCCTGCCCATGACCAGGGTGTGGCATGTGCAAGAGGATGATGCCGCATTTCCAGATGGCCGCAACGCAGCTTCGAGGCCACGCTGTAAGTGAAGCAGGCAGCAAGCTGGGGAGGGTGGGTTTTACAAGTGTCAGGGAAGACCGATCATGTGGCTACTGTGAGGCCATGTCCAAAACGAAACCTGGAATCACCTGCTCTCTGAGGAGTGAGAACTCACAACAAGTTTCTGGGGTCCAGAGAAGTAGGCAGCTGTCAGAGACAGAATGATGAAATGGCTAGGACAACGTGTGATGCACACGTGGTGTTGCTGGGAGGCCAGGGGCCAAGAGCAGACCCTCTGGTACCCAAGATTGGTGACACTGGGTGCCAAAGTGGTCCAAGGCAGTTGCTGGGGGAGCTCAGCAGCAAAGGACAGGGCGACCCTGGGGTGACAAGAATGGACTCACTGGGAGGTAAATCCAGGTGGAGAGCTAGAGGAGGAGAGGTGAGACAGATGTGCCCTCACAGGGCCCACCATCAAGGCACAAGAGGCAGAAGAGGAGCTACTAGGGAAATGGTCTTCAGAACAACTGGGAGGGAGCAGAGTAGGGGGACAGTGGCCAAGGCACCCTCAGAAGAGGGCTGGGAAGCCCTCACCCTCCCAGGCTTTTGTCTGCTGTGCCATGTGTGTGTCCGGAAGCAGAGGCATAGCATCCATCCTCCTGACCCCTGCCAGCATGTAGTTGTGTAACCCCAGATACAATTACAGTGCTGGGCAGCAGATCTCCACAACACAGCCCTCCTGAACAGTGATCTGAGCTCTTGAAATCAGAACAGAGCAAGCCTAAATAAGCAAGAAACCACATGAGCAGGCAAACAGGCATTCACACTGCTATTCAGAGGCTTCACCATGGAGGACACAGGCACAATGGGAAGGATACATGTGTCATGGGGACCTTCCCCTGTGGCCCTGCCTCTGGACAAGACTTTGACAAAGCTAGCCCCCGAATCACCTATCCCTGTGTCATGTGCCTAGACCCAGGTCTAGAAATACAGACGGCCCCATTCTAGAAGAGAAGGTAGGGTGCAGAGGGGATGTGTGTTTCCTGGAACTGTGGCCCCAGGTACTAGTGACCTCAGCCTGAGATCTGTGCTGTGTGAATGCCTATTTGCTGGCTCATGTGGTTTCTTGCTTATTTAGGCTTGCTCTGTTCTGATTTTCCTTTGGTTTCTTAGGAAAACATCCTTGTCCTGACAACACTGGGCTCCCACTTGTTACAGGCCTCTCACTTGGGAATCTGGGGCACATTTTGCACAGTGGTAGCTCCCAGGAACCTAGATCAGGGCAAGGTAGGAGGGCAGCCTTTGCGTCTTCACACACATAGCAGAGGTAGGGACCACCCCCCCAACCAAAGCAGACTGCTATTCCCCAAGGGTCATGCCCCAGGCACTGTCCCTTCTGCTCCCTGTCATCTCAGAGTCCTCACTGCTGACCATGCCTGTGACGTGGGTCAGAAACCTCTCCGCAGACTTTTTGGTAGGCGTCTAACCCAAAGATATCACTCAGCATAAGGCAGCCAGGTCAGGCCAGGGACCCGCAGTCTTTGGCGTTCTCCAAACTTGGGCCTGCCTCTCTTCTTTTACCGTCATTGACATCTGTTGACACATTGGCATCTGTGCCCTCTCCTCCTGCTGACTGTCAATCTCAGTAGCAGCCACCACCATCAGAGCAAGCCCTTCCCCAATCTGCCTCTACTTTCCAGCCTTTCCCACACTGAGCCCTGCCCCATCTCCTGTTAACCACGGCTGTGACTGGCCAGGCAGGGTACAGACGCCATGACCATGGCCATCACAGCTGTGTACACAGGCTGGGCTCCAGAACTGGCTCTGGCTAGCTGACTGGGAGAGCTTGGGCAAGCCCAGTCTTCTTGGTGCCTCTATTTCCTCATGACAAAGTCAGCACTGCCCACCTTGCTGGATTGTTGTGAGAGGCAAATGGACTGAATGTGGAAACTTGGCAGAGACCAGTGGCCAACTGACCCCCCAGCTGCTCTCTGTTTACTGGGTCTCCTGCCCACCCTGTTCTTGTTCTTGGTAGCAAGCTGCAGTGCAAGCCTGGCATATGCTTTGCCTTGTCGCGTTACGGCAGCATGGCCCTCGGTGAGCTTATTAGGTCCGTGGCTTTAGTGGCATGTGACTGCATTATCTGAGCCACTTACCTCCGCTCCAGAACCACACAAGGCAGGCAGCTGTCTGAACTTCCTCCTCAGGGTTCCCAGGGCAGCATGTCTGGGTCAGATATCAGCTGCCTTCCAGGCTTGCACCCTGCCCGCTGCAGGACCCTTCACCAGTGGCTGGGCTGCTCAGGCATCTTCAGACACCTCCTGTACCTGTTCTCTGTGCTCTTCCTACCCACTGGACTGACCAGGCTTGGATCAGCCACACAGGTCTCTGGCTGCCGCAGACTGCCGACTTGTCTCCTTGACCCACCCACCTTTACATACCAGCTGTCCACGTTGGAGGCATTCCCATTCATGGACACACACACGGACTCCATGACAGAGTTGCACCTATGCTAAACACATGCAGATTTTTTCCCCTTTGTAATTCCCTAAATGGTGCAGCATGGGAATGATTCTTACCCTGCACTTGCCTTGTATTAGATACTACAGATAATCTAGGGGTGGCTTCAGAGACCCTTGAAAAATGCATGTAGATTCAATGCAGATGCTGAGCCTGTTTGTGTAAGGGACATGAGCAATGACAGGTCTCGACATCCACACAGTCCTGAACCCAGACCCTCAGGGATGACTATGCTTAAGAAAAAAAAAAAAAAAGGCAGCTGGACAGTGACTGCTTCTCTGCTCCAGCAACCCCATCCACTGCCGCCTCCTAAGTCTTCATTTCTTTTTTTTTTTTTTATTGTTAGTAACATTGTATTATGTGATACAGTTTTATAGGCACTGGGATTCCCCCCACTCCTCCCACAACCCCCCCCCCCAAGTCTTCATTTCTTAGATCCACACTGCCTTTCCCAGAGCGGCCCCAGGTCTCTTGCTCTTCCTTTCCATGCTCCTCGGCTGCAGGCCTGCTACCTGGAGAAGCTCTCCATTGCTGGGGACACATCTTGTCACTATTGCCTGCATCTTTCCCTCCTGGCGCATCTGTTGAAGCCTCACCCTCCTTTGAACAGGCCTGCATGCTACCCACACCGGGGAGCTACTATTGTGGCAAAATGGCTAGACTTGAGCTTATTGGGCTGGCTGCATGGCCCCCAGCACAGCTGCTCAGGGTCAGAGGTGTGCCTCCTGGGACTTCACAAATTCCAATTCCACCAGGTGTTTATACATAGCTCCTTAAACAAGAAGCACGTAACTTGTCTTGTTCACTAATAAATGCTCCTCAAACGATACAGAAATACTGGAGAATCTTGAAGAATCATGAGTTCAACACCAGGCAAAGGAGGATTGAAAAGCCTGCCCAGGGCAGTAGGATTTGTTGGCAGAGGCTCGATGGAAGCAAGAAGTGGGGATCGGGGTGACAGGGAGGGGGAACTGTGAGGTATCCAGTGTGGCAGGAGAGAAGAGTGGGAGTACTGGAAACCTGGCAAGAGCTGGAGGACCCCTCAGTAGCCTCGATACAAGCAGCTCATGCGCCTCGGGTGTTCCAGATCTTGGACTCAGGTTATCACCATCGTCATCACTACCAGCATGTCAGCAGGTGCAGAAATGGCAACTGTGACTGCAGACAGAGATCCAGACGGGGTGGGGAATCCAAGCCAGAGCTACAGCCACTGTGCAGGGCAGTGGCGCTGTGCAGGGAAGGCATCTCAGATGGCCTCATTCCTGGGAGACCCAAGAATGGAGGCACCAGCATGTGCACCATGAAGGACTTTGTGAGGAAACAGGATGGAGTGATATGAGGTGGGGGGGGGACTGTGTGGGCTGGAGGTTGGATGTTCCAGCCTGTGTTCAGTATTTTGGGGAGGTTTGGTGCAGAGAAGTGATGTAATGAAGGAGAGGATGTGGACAATTAATCTTGTGGTGCATGTGCACTGACATTAGAGAGATCAATTAGACAGAAAAAAGAACTCTAAAGGAGACGGATGTTCCTGGAACAGACTGAATCTATCTCGGAAATGAGCAGAGAGGCTATTAGAAGGTTCCAGGACTTCTAGTAAGTTCTGCTCCAGGTATATTCTGCCTGTGTTCTTTATAGCATCCCCAGATGAGCTGGGGAAAGGAAATGAGGATGTAACAAGCATTTATTGTGTGCCAGACACTGTGCTCAGTACTTGAGACAGTTGGAAAGACAACTTGGCTGCTGCTTTTTTTTCTCTTGTTGTTTTTAAGATTTATTTATTAATTTGAAAGGCAGAGTTACATAGAGAGAAATCACCTGCTGATTCGCTCCCCAAGTGATCACAAATGACCAAAGCTGGGCTGGTCCAAAGCCAGGAGCCAAGAGCTTCTTCTGAGTCTCCCACATGGGTACAACTTTTCCAGGTCGTTAGCAGGAAGCTGGATATTAAGTGGAGTAGCATATTAAGGGGAGTGGAACAGATGCCCTTATGGGATTGTGGTGCTGCAGATGAGGTCTTAGCCTACTATGCCACAGTACCTCCCCCTCTGCTGCTTCTAAAGATAGACACTTCTGGTGGAACAGGTGACAAGGTGACATAAGGGATGTGATGCTTCCTGAGCCCCTGGTTTGTGCCAGAACCTCTGACATGGGTCATCCCAAGGGCATTCACCTCTTTTCAGAGCCTGGTGATTGTCCCACTGGCCACCTGTGTCTTCCTGGGAGGACCCTCTAGGTGGGGGAACTCTTGCCCCAGCTCACAGGATGCGGCCTTAGCCTACTATGCCACAGGATGAATGCAGTCTTCTGATTCAAGTTCACTGTCCACGAGAAGTTTCCTTCTCCTTTTTCTCTTACTGTGCATCCCTGGGGTTCATCCAGTAAATTGTAGTTTTTGCTTTCTTCTCTGCTGCTTGAGCTGTGCCTCATGTTTCGAAGTTCGTGTTCCTCGTTTCTGAGCAGTCCTTTGTGCAACAGCCTTACAGTAGCTGACCCCTCTGGCCAGGCATATGCTCCCGTGAGAACCAACTCCACACAGCCTCTTTCCTTTGGGGGCCAGTTCTGTGCCAGCCTCCTCCTCTCCGATTCCCTGCATGTACACTGCTGGAGGGTGATGCTCACACATGGCGGAGAGCTGGGGAGGCTGGCGTCGGAACACCTCACTTCTCACCATGTGTCAGGAGAGCCATGCCATCTCCTTGGCTGCGTCTGAGCTGTGAGGTCTGACAGCAGCATGCGCTGAGCCCCGAGTGGACAGACAGCGGACCGGCCATGCAGCATCCAGGAAGGCATCCTAGGACATGCTGCCAGGCCTGAGAGGCGTCTAGCCATGCCTTCTCTCCATCACCGTGGAGCAGAGTGCAGGCAGGGCTGCAGTGAAAGTGCACTATGTGTACTTGAATGGCAGCAGCTGCTCTCAAGGCCTTGGAACTCCATAGTGAGGCTGGGACTTCTCTTCAAATTCTCAGAACTTGTCTGTGGCCCTGGGCAGGCTGGACAGATGGCTGTTCCCAAGCTCTTGGTCATGACTCCCGCCAGTTCAGTCTGCCTTCTTGTGCATCAGCCCTGCTCTGGCCCCAGTGTCTGGAGCTGGCTCTCTTTTTCCACTCAGGTCCTGGCTGGGATGAACGTCTACCCCTCGGAATTTGAAAACATCAAGGAGGAGTATGGTGTGCGGGGCTACCCTACTATCTGTTATTTTGAGTAAGTCCCCTGTTTCCCTCTGTAGCTCCCTCCCTGCTGACCTGTCCAGGTGTCCCTGGCTGAGCCCACCCACATTCTGTCTCCACCATTTGCAGGAAAGGGCAGTTCCTGTTCCAGTATGACAACTATGGTTCTACAGCGGAGGACATTGTGGAATGGCTGAAGAAGTAAGTCAAATGGATGTTGGCGTCCATGGGTGTGCACCGGAGGGTGGGGCTGGGCTGCATGGGTGCCAGTCTGGGCTGTGGGATGGAGGAGAGTAGGAGGAAGGGGCAGCTACCAGACTCTGGGCTGAGTCCAGGCTGGCCAGTGTGGGGGCATCGCCATGGGCATGTGGGGTGCAGGAGCATTGAGGTGTCCCTGGGCCTGTGATGATCAGACTGGTATGCTGGGGCTACCTAAAGCTGTCCACTCCTCCTGGCATCATCAGAGGGCTTTCTAGAATGTTCCCAAACTTGCATTACCATCCTACCCCCTTCCCAACAAATTTCTAACCCAGGTTAGATCAAATTTAAGAGATATCCCACCCATGGGGCCTTCTGAAAATGGGAATGTCAATGGAACGCTGATTGCACACACAGGTGTGAATTAGGGGCTGCAGAGGGGCTGAGAAATGCCAAATGTCAAAGAGCTACAGCATGCCTTATACCCCACCCTTACCTGAGGCTCCCCAGCTGGAGTGTGGTCAGACTGGTGGGGTGCCAAACCTCTCTGCCCTGGCACCACTCCCTGGGGGCTGCTGTGGCCCCGCCCCTTTTCCTTCCCTCCTTCCACCTGTCGGCATCTTCCCAGTCCTCACAGTGCAGTGCTCAGGATGTCCAGCTAAGTACTCACCCTGCTGTGATACTGACCAGCCCCTGCTGGCTCCCATTCTTGAAATAAGAACAGCTAATGTTTTTGCAGCTGCTGCTCTATGGCAGGCAGATACTGTCCCAAGCACCTTGGATGGGTTTTCATTTAATGCTCATTGTGGTGCTTTAAGGAAGCTATTGATGAGGGCGATGACATCACATGCCCAAGGTCATTCGGCTCATCACGGGATGCCGGAATCACTCCTAGAAGCTGGTCCCGCACCTGTGAGCTGCCCATAACCAGCACCCTCTCTTCTGAGCTCTGGGGCACCACCACACCCCTTCCCTAACCTTAGGGTGTCAGCATGTTGACATCATCGCCTTCAGGACGAGTTAAAGAATTAGTTATCCAAAGGATCAGAGGTTGAAAGTATGTCTGTTCAGAATAGGAAAGAAAGGTGAATTTTGTATATAGAAGCAAAAAAAAAAAAAAACCTACCAGAAACACTGTGATTTCTAAAGGCTGAAAAGCTGAGTGTTCCATTCTCTGCAACTCCCAGGAGCCCCAGGAGACGAAGCGCCAGGGCCAGCACTGGGTCTTCATGGCATCTCTTATCCTGGCATCTCAGCCGCCGAGGACCACAGCATCATTTTCAGCCCCTACCTGGGAAGGCCAGTGCCCGTGATTGTGCTCTCACTGGGCTTTCACTCCCCCGTGTCCCTTTTTTTTTTCCTTTGAAAATAATGATAATAACCATGTCCTCTCCTGCAGCCAGACATACCTCGTTCTGCTCCAGGAAAAGGCTCCACAAACAGCAATCTCATTTGTCAGCAGAGCATAAAAATCTGCCCGCTTCCCTCCCCTGCTCTAACCTTTTCTGGTTTCAAAACACCCTTCTATCTCTTTGGAAGGATAAGGCTCGATTAAAAAAAAAATGTTCAAAATTGCCTGCTCACCCTAGATGAGAGTAGCCTATCAGTGCAGTGGAGTTGCTGAAACAGGTTATTATCTTCCTGCTGGCACCCAGTGCCATAAGCACTGCACCCAGCTGCCCTGTCAGGCCTGCCTGGAGTTGTTACAGAAGCCCCTCCAGGACTGGCTCCTCTCCCCCATTCTGCCCCGTCCCACCTCCTGTGCTCCCTCCCTCTTGTCATCTTCAGGATGAGAGGGTGACAGGGATCTGCTGGGTAGGTCCTCCTGGCCCCACCCCCACCCCACCCCGGGGGAGCCCTTTGTGTCAGCCACACACTGCAGGGCAGTCCTCTGAGGATGTGGCTCCAGGCCTTGTCCCCTGTGAGTCAGGGACAGGAAAGGAACCTGTTGGAGGACCCTCCAGGAGCTGCCAGATCCCGCTCGCCAGCAGGAGCTGCCAACATCCCCGGCACCAACTGGCTTCCTTTCTTTAAAAAAAGGACACACACAAAAAATTAGCTTTTCTGATCTTAAGAATATTCAAAGAACATATGCTTATCATAGGGAACACTTGCAAGTGTAGTTAAACAAGAAGTCCCCCGCCCATTTTCCAGATACCGTGTTGTGATATTTTGGTGGATCGCCGTCCAGATTTCTCTCCTACGCTTGGCTAGCTCTGTGGGTGGTTTCTCCCAGGCCCACGTGTTCAGTCTTTACCAGCCTTTCCCCCAACGTCCTAGCAGAGAGCAGGAGTCTCAAATTTACTACTGCCCTGGACCTCTTAGCTCCTCACCCTTAGCTGTTCAGGGCTTGTGTGCGGAAGAATGGAGATGATTTCCACACAGCTAATCCCAGTGGGTGACTGGTGGGTGCGCTGGGGCCTGAGGCAGGGCCAGGAGCTAGTCCTGGTGTTCCCAGGAAGGGGCTCTGGAGTAGGCACTGACCTTGGCATTGTTGCCCCCTGGTGCTCCTGATGGTCATTCAGACCTTCCACTAGTGGGAGAGGCTGAGCAGGATGTTTGGAAAGTGGTTGCAGCAGTCTGCTTTGCCCTGCCTGTCCATTTCTGCGTGTGTGTGTGTGTGTGTGTTTTAAAGATGTGTTTAGTAATTTATTTGAAAGACACTTATATATGGAGAGGGGAAGAGACAGAAAGAGTTCTTGCATCAGCTGGTCCATCCCCCAGGATTGACAAGCCAGGCTGAACATGGGTGGCAGGAACCCAGATACCTCAGGCATTTTCTGCTACTTTCCCTGATGCTTTAGCAGGGAACTGGATTGGAAGTTTACCAGCCAGGTCTTAAACTGGTGCCCACATGGGATGCTGGTATTGCAGGCAGCAGCTTTATCTGGTTCCCTGCCTATGTGCATTTATATCAACCAGAAACCAGCAGCACTGGGGTTTCCTGCCCAGCAGGCGCACCCCTATCGGAGGAGGAGCTGGTGTGTGGCTGGGGAGTCCCCATTCCACAGAGCAGGTGAACCAACCCCAGGACCGCAAAGGCACAGAGAAGTCTACTTCATCAGTATCCCCGAGTGTTCCCATTTACTTGTTTTTGAGGTGACCTGCTTGTGTTGAAATGATTGCTGTGCTATAGATCATGCACAACATGCATTTGGATAGCACCATATAAACTTAGAAAATGCCTGGCATCCGTAATGCCTAGAGGTGCCACTGCAATGTCTGGTAGAAGTTCTAAGTGTGGCTATGCAGGGCTGTTAAAAGGGATCCTCCCCAAGGTCTCCGCCTCCCATCCTGCTTACTGCAAATAGAATGCTCTTCCTCATGCTGGATTCCCTCTGCTGGGAGCAGGGGGCATCTCTTGGTGCTTTCAGCTCTGCTTGTGGGGCCTCTGAAGAAGGAATGTCCAGGTCTCTCCTGGACACAGCTTGAGACATTTGAAGAGAGCCAATGTGTTCTCTCCAAGCTTAAATGCCTCTGATTCTTTTAGCTACATCTCTCCTGCAGTTGTTGATTCAGCAAGCATTTCTTAGGAATCTGCTGTGTGTGAAGGCCTCTTCACAGTCAGTTTCTGGCTGTGCCCTGGGTTGGGGGAGAACAGGGCTGTGCCCTGGGAGCATGTGGGGATGGGTCTGAGGGTCCCAGTGGCCAGTGAAGCCTCAGGGTATCAGCCAGCTGCCAGGGGTGGCTCCCCTGGGGCCACGGAGCCTTGTCTTTACACTCAGGTGTGGTTCTGCTCCTTCCCCTGACCCGCCAACCAACACCTTGGATTTCTGCCCTGTGTTTCCCCTCCATACCAAGTGAGTTTTTTAGCTTCTAAATTGCATTGACCTCTTTTTTTTTTTTCTTGTGCCTTTCTTTCCTGTTCTCTTCACTCTGGTAGGTTCATACAGTTTTTATTTTAGCTCCTGTGCTGTTATTTTAGCAACGTTAGCACATGTCCCCTTTCCAGTTAACTACAAGTTTCTCAGGCACTTTTGGATGTGTCTGTGTACCCGCTGCGCTCCAGCCTCTCCAGCCTTTGTTTATGCCCAGGCTGAGTGTATAAAAGTTTATTTTAATTTTTGGATTTGATGATACATCATACAAAACACTTTTTTTTTAAGACACACTTGGAAAAGTTTTGCTCCCACCTGTTTGTTCCTTCCTGTTCTGTTTCCCACTCCCAGAGGTGAGGCCCATGAGTATCTTATAGGCTGTTTAAGCGTATCTTCCTATAGGCCCAAACAAATTGCCTAAGTGGATTTTGTCTCCCCACCCTATTTTGTGCAAAAATTAGCAAGTGACCTACTGCCCCTTCAGTGGCTGAGCCCCCTGTTCAGGGCAAGAGAGGACACTTGCAAGCCTCCTGTTGCTGTCAGCTGGGGACACAGACACCTGTGCATGGCAGTGCACTCTGGAGACAGGTCCCTAAGAGCTCAGGCAGCCAACCCAGATACCAGGTTGAGCAGCTGAGCAGTGATTGATTGGAATCCTGAAAGAGCCATTTCATGTTCTTGGCATCCAGGCTAGTATCATGGTTAGGTTACTCCTTGTGGGTAGACCCCCGGCCTGACTGGCACTGAGCTGATGCCAGTCTTTAACATGACAGTCTGCAGTGAATGCCTTTGGAAGACACGTCATTTTGTACAGGTGAATGGTACAGATGAATTCCCTAAAGTGGGATTGGTTGTGTGTGGAGGGGTCTGTGTCTGAAACCCAAGCATAGGCTTGTAATATTGTCTAGTCCATTGTCTGCCTGGTGGTTCACTCCAGAGCTGTGTTTCTACAGCAGCCCACCTCATGTTGGATGTGCAAGGCTGGGGGTGGTTTGTCCTATTCCTACCATTTGTAGTCCCTGGGACCAGGGAGGCTTGGGGCTCAGTCAGAATGGTTGCCCAGACTGTGCATGGAGGTGACATGAAAACTCATGCCTGTGCTGAGGGCGTGTATGGGAGGAATGACAACTTGCCTTGTGCTGGCCACTCTGTTCTCTCGCTTACTTGCTCTTGGATCTTCTAGCCCTGGCTGCTGACACCATGATGGTTTTTCTACAATGCTGTCTTCTCACTTTTGTTGGCCCAAAGTGCTCTCTGGCAATCAGAGTGTTCTGGCAAGGGCACTAGTAACAGGAAAAAGTAGGGGGTGGCATCACCAGCCAGAGATGATAGCTGGGAACCTCCCATGGGTAACGGTGCAGGGATCAGGGTCATCTGTGCCTGGCTGTGCACTGTGGAGTGATCAGGTTGATGTGGACCCCCTAGGGAACTGTGTGTTCTTGGTCTCTGGGGTAGACTAGTGGGCTAGCATAGACACTGTTGTAATTAGAGAACTCCCAGCCCGATCCCCCACATCATGATGTTTCCCACAGCCTGTTCAGTAAACGCTCTTCTGCACACACACAACTCCTTTGCCCACTGTGGCCACTTGTCCTGCCCATTGCAGCTGTGGCCTTCCCTGCCAGCCCTCCTCCACTCCCTCACTCCCCTCTCTGCCACCTCAGCCAGTGTGTTCAGCTCCTATCTTCTCTGCTCCATGAGCAATGAGCAGCAGTTGAAGGCCACTGCTTGTCATTGCACTTAGTCTCACCCATTTACTGAAAACTTGGACATGGCTTAAGAAGGTTCATAAGGCCCCCAGTTCTCCAAGAGGAAGGGATTGCTCAAGCTACCTGGAGGAATGTGGCCAAAAGCCATCAGATATGCCAGTTCCTCAGTCAGGACTTGGCTCCGGGGCTTGAGGACTCAACCCAGTGTTCCTCCCCTGTCCCCAGCCTCCTAACCCCAGGGGCCCTGTTTCTGGTCTGTCCAGGGGGCTGGATCATGGAAGGGTCCCATTCTGAGCTCTGCCTGTTTTTGGTCTTCCAGTCCACAGCCGCCACAGCCCCAGGTGCCCGAGACACCCTGGGCAGATGAGGGCGGCTCCGTTTATCACCTGACCGATGAAGACTTTGACCAGTTTGTGAAGGAACACTCCTCTGTCCTCGTCATGTTCCACGCCCCATGTGAGTGGAACGTGCCCCCTCCCTGCTTCTCCCCTGCCCCCCTTCAGAGTCCAATGGGCACCATCCTTAGCTGTTGAGTGCCAGGAGCTGCGCCAAGCCAGGGGGATGCCATGGGGACCCTGACCTGCCTGCAGCCAGCCCTCAGTGGCTTCTTCCCAAGAGAGTGTGAGCTGAAAGGATTAGGACTCAAAGCCCTTAGCTCTTCCCCAGGATATGGATTCCCTCCCACCCCATCTTGTGGAACATGGGGACCAAGAGGGCCTCTCTTCCCTGCAAGGAGCTGAGGGGGCATGGCCCAACCAGGGGATGCCAAGGATCCAGCATGCCCTATATGAGTGTTGGCGGTCTCACCTACAAGGTCTCCAGCCCAGGGATCTTGTGGGAAATTGACTGTGGGTGTTCCTAAAAGGGACAATGCTGATCCTGGAAGGATGTGCGAGGGTCTCACGGGACAAGGGGCCAGCATGGTGGGACTGGCCCATGCGCTCAGTGAAGAGGTGGGTCCACAGCACAGCCTGGGTTGGGTGTCTCTGTGGCACTCTTCTTCCTTATCCCCCTGCCAACTCTGGCCCAGCAAGGGTGAGGAAAGGATTGTACAGGAAGAAAAAAGCCAGAAGTGCATGCTGCCTGGACCTGTGATGTGAACGCAGTGCGTGAATGCATGTGTACAGGGTGGGAGGCAGTCAGTGTGCTCCCTAAATACATACCTTTATATATGTAGATTGTGCTCTTGATTGCCAGGTGAGCTTGCTTTGTTTCTTGGAACTGATAAGATTAACAAGCTGTTTTATTGTTTTTCTCCAAATGTGATTGGGAGGTTTGAACATGACACAGAAGCCCTTGGTGTTTTCTCATCATGAATCTAGCTGCGGAGCTGGGCTTGTTTTTTATTAGCTACTTGGTTAGAGCCATGATAGGCAAGATGCACCTTGAGGTGTACAAGAATTAGAGCTGGGGAAATAGCTAAAACAGCCCACAAGTGCTTTACGATTTTAAGACATTCCAACAGATTGACATAGTTAGGCTCCAACTAAGAGGCTGAATTTATCTTGGTGCTTTTTGGCTAATTGCAAATGCCAGGCTTACAAAAGATAATGTAGGAAAGTATAGAGAAGAAAATTAGCATCACTGCTGGTGCTGCTCTCCGGAGAGAGCCCCGGTGCTTCTGTGAAGTATTCCTGCACATGTTGAAAATGCTCAGTCTGCATCAGTTTCTCCCCTGGATTGGAAAGGCCAGAGAGGGAAAAGTGGTCTTCAGCTTTCCTCCTGACCTCTGCCTGCCCTAGGTGGAGTGCTCCACTGGCACCTGTTGCTTTCAGAGGCAAGCACTGGCTGCTTGGCATGAGATGTCACAGAGTCACACTCCTGGGGCCCTCATCAGCATAAGTGTGCAGCTATGTATTAGCAGCACCATGACATTGATCTGATGTTGAGGCCACCATTGACCTGTCACATCTTTACCCTCTCTCTAACTTTTCCTGCCACTCACTTCACACCCAACAGAAGTCCTCAGAAGCCCATACACATGCCCCCCACCCAGCTCTTACCTTGATGCCTGGGTCTTCATTCAGCAACCAAGCATAAACAGCCCCAGTGCTAGGCCCTCCACAGAGGGGAGGCCAGCCTGGCATTATGGGCTCCATTCCCCCAGGAGCTGTGCCAGGGCATCTGAGTGAGAGCAAAGAGCTGTGTGTGTGTGTGTGTGAGAGAGAGAGAGGGCTCAGGCAACCACAGCATGGCGCCTTATGTGTTGCACCTGGGCATGACACAGATGTGTGAGTACCGTGGAGGACCATACTATGGCCCCCAAGGGTAAATCAGCAGAGCCCTAATGGTCCCTGGAACCTCCGTTCCTTCAGCGCATATGTGAGGAGAGGCCCTGCGTCCCTGCCACTGTTGCTGTTTGGCTGCTCTTTATGTCTCTTTTAATGTAACTCCAGCAGAATCACAATTCTACTGCCTGAGCAAGCGTCACACAAGTGCGGATGTTAGAAGCAGCTAAGTGGGGCATCCTGGAGCAAGGTGTCCCTGTAGTCTGCTGGGCCTGTTGACACCCATGCAGTGTCAACAGACCCAGTGACCTCAGGTCACTAGAGTGTCAAGCATCCCCTTGCCTTCCTCTCCATAGCACCGCAGGGGCTCTCGGCCCTTGCCCCTCTTCTATAACCAGACATGTCTCTGGTGCAGCTCGCCTCCCACTGGTGTGTGCAGATGCCAGTGTGCCCCTGGGAAGCTGAGCTGACCCACAATGCTGAATTCATGCTCCCACCTTTGGTCTTACTCATTTTCCCTTCCTGTTTGTCTTATGTACGTAGAAAATCCACATGGTACTGAGACTATAGATGGTGAAGGAAAAGGACACCCTCTAGTCTCATTGTCCATATTTTGCTTTCTGACATCCTTGTTGCTAGGTTCTAAACCCCTTGCTTTTTAACCTTTGTGGTATGAATTAACACGGAGTCGGGTGGACCGTCTGTCAGCACTGATACAGATGTGTGCAGTCATCATGCCATAAAACATGCTGTCGGCTTTTATTTTTTCATTGCACCACTAATTTTGGAAGAATAGGAATGTTCTTATTCTGGACAAGAGCAAAGTTCAAGAACACCTGAGAATGCATTGTGGTCTCCTGGCCCCACCCCTTCCTGGCCCTCTTCCTTCTATGCTTCTTGGTTGGATTTTTTTTTTAACCTAAGTAGTGTTGTTACTTCTCTGTTTCTCTGAGACTTACTTTTCCCCACTCATAGGAGGTCTTGGAGATGAATTTATGAAAATGTGCATATGGGCAAGTAAATCTACCTCAGTCTTTCTAGTCAATGAATATTGTGTTAGAATTCAGACATGCCGTGAATTCAAAACCCTTTCCCCATCAGCATTGAGCGCAGTTTTGTACTGTTTGAACATGGCAGTGAGCATTTGCCAACATCTATGTGGGAAGGTTGCATACTGTAGAGAAGCAATGCATACATTTCACTTTTTTTTTTTTTTGGACGAACCTAAGTTTATTTTTAGACCTATTTTCCCATGAACTCTTTGAAGCACTCATGGATTGGCAAGAGGTTTGTTTAAGTGGTCAGGATTAATTCTTAGAAGTGATCCTTGGGTGGCTGGGGAAGCGAGCATGTACTTTGACGGTTCCTGCCCAACTGCCCTCCTGAAGATTCTCCCTCCCCTGCATACGGTAAGCCTTTCCCACGGCTGCTAAGCCAGACCTGGGATCAGCTTGGCCACAGCTGGCTGACCTCCAGGGAAGTCAGGCCTACTCTACCGTGACTACCAGCCTCTCCTCTTGGAGACCACCTCCTCATAGCCCTTGCCCATCCCCCGATAGGTTGTCTTTTTTCTTCTTGACCTGGAGCTGTAGAATTACAGATATTATTCTTTATCTGCTTCCCACCTTCTCCGAATTTTCTTGGTAAGTTGCTTGCTTTATCTTCATTTTAAATGTCTTTATTATACAAAGCTGTTTTGTAGATGAATGACAGGATGCTCCTGCAGCACTTCGATTGGATCAGGCTTTGTTCTAGCCATTCTCCATGTGTTATCTCATTTAATCTTCACAACAAACCTGTTGTGATTATTTCCATTTTGTTCTTTCTCTTTTTAAAAAGATTTATTTATTTGAAAGGCAGAGTTACAGAGGAACAAGGGACACACAGGGAGACAGAGGTCTTCTATCCTCAGCTTCATTCCCCAAATAGCTGCCAACAGCCATATCTTGGCCAGGCTGAAGCCAGCAGACAGAAGCTTCTTCTGGGTCTCCCATGTGGGTGCAAGGATCAGAATTCTGGGACTGTCCCCACTGATTTCTCAGGCACATCAGCAGGGAACTGAATTATAAGTGGAACAGCCAAGATTTGAATCAGCATCCATATGGGATGCTGGCGCAGCAGACGTTGGCCTTAACTGCTACACCACAATAGACCTGAATTTTCCCATTTTATAAGGAAAGAAAGGGAGGCACAAATGGGTCACCACTCACCACAGGTCACAGAATCAAAAAAGCATAGCACTAACTAAAACGCAGGAGATTCCAGGAGGCCATAGCCTAATCACTGGGTCTTCTTGTCTGGACCCCAGCTTGCTCAGGATGCTTACAAAGCTCACCCCTTAATATCAAAATGCTGTCCTTGGTTTTGTTTTGTTTTTCTCATGTCCTTCTTTAATCTGTCTGGATATTTTCACTTGTTGGTTGAGACCCAGTGACACAAAGGGATTTAACTCTTTCCCCATGCATTTTCTTTACCTTTTACCCTTAACCTTGTCTGGGACATATCTCCTTGTGTTGTTCAGGTTGCTTTTTTTGTTTAGGTTGCTTTTTGTTGTGGCCCCATCATAATCCATTATTGCACAGTAGTACTACCAATCACTTATCTTGCGCCACGCTACCAAAGCTTAGAGCCGTTCACTGTAGTGCTCCTTATAAATCACACTGCCAGTGTTTTCAGGTGTCCACGTGCCACAGGATGTCCTTAGGATAGCTTATCACCCTCACTGTGGTACTCATCAAGGGGATGAGAAATCTCTCGGCACAAGGGCAGGGGCTGTGTGAGTTGCAGAGATGGATGCCACAGATATGGGCAACAGCAGCAGCAACAGCACCAAGTCAGCTCTGGTGTATGTGTGGTGGTGTTGAGGGCAGAGCCTGCCACTCTCCACAGAGCCCTTCACATTAAGATGTGGCTGTGCCACCACAGCAGGTTCCAGGCAAGGCAGGAGCCAAGCTCACCAAGAGCTCCAAATATTACTACCCTAGACCTAGCTACCAGGAGCCTAACAGGTGATCCTGCTCCCCAGGAAAATTCCAGAGACAACAGCCAGGAATGCTCCACAGCCTGCGTGTAATGGAATCACACATGTAATGGCATCTAATGACATCCAGAAGCAGCTGGGGGCTCAGGGTTGACAGGACGCTGACATCTCCACAGCCAGAGAAGAACATGATTGAGGTGATAGGCAAGAATGAAAGTGCACTTACACAGATGATAAAAACCCAACAAGGAAGCTTGGCAATAAAACTTAATGGCCTATCAAATCATAAACAGGACATACCACACAGCGTCTGGAGCTCTGCTCCCTGCACCTAACCCTCTTCCTCTGGCTGTACCACATCCCACACTACCAGGGACACTTGGAAGGCCCAGCCCAGGAAGCCTGGGGCTATGGTCAAGGCCAACACTACCTGCCACCTGCAGATTCCCAGGACAGATGAGCATCAGAGAGAGAGGCGCTTGCTCAGCTGAACTTTTCCCCTTTGAGACTGGCCAGTGTCCTCATCAGAAACTTTGTTTGCAGAAGTTCATTGTTTAATCTTGATATCTCCTTCAGGCCCTGAGGGGTGATGCTGGAATTGAAAATCTTATTGACACCAAGAGAACTCTAGGCTGTGCAGGAACAGCATCCATAGATATGAAAGCTTCTTTAAAAAAAAAAAAAACGATTTGTAAGGCAGAGTTATAGAGAGAAAGGAGAAAGGAATCAACACAGAGATCTTCCATCTATTTGGTTCATTCCCCCAAATGGCCACAATAGCAGAGACTGGGCCAGACCAGAGCCAGGAGCTTGTTCTGAGTCTTCCGCATGGAAGACAGGGGCCAAAGTACTTGAGCTGTGTTAAACTACTTTCCCAAGTACATTATCAGGAAGCTGGAACAGAAGTGCAGCAGCAGGGACTTGAACCAATACTGTTTAGGGAATGTTGGCATTTGTTTTGTTAGGTGTTCCTCTTGAAGACCTTATAAGGAAAGCAAGGCGAGCGAGAGAGACAAGGCCAGGAGCTCTAGGGTGGAGGACGGCAGGGACTGGCCTGAGCCCAGGTTGCAGAGAGGACTTGAGCTGGACTATGAGGTGTCTGTGGACTCTATAGGGAGTTTGGATGTTCCCCCACTGGTGAGGAGAAGCTGTTGGAAAGTTTTGAAGCAAAGGAATTTGATGTGATTTGTGTTTGGAACTAATGTGTTGGTTGCATTTAAATATCGAGACAGCAATAGGACAATCACAAATGACATGGAATTATCTGCTGTAGAAAATATCCAAAGAAGTGTGTACCACTACCAGAGAATTGAATTGTTCACTAGGACTGGTGTGGATGGGAGGAAGCCAAGGTGGGATCATGAGGGACTGTGGGGCATGGCGTGTCCATCAGGGCAGATGATGGTAACCCTGGTTAGTGCTGTATTCCTCAGGTGAACAGACCTGCTGAGCTCTGTCCAGTGTTGCCTCCTGGGGCTGCTCAAACGCAGTGAGCAGATGGCCTGTGCAGCTCACAGGAACTTCCTTCCTGGGCAGTTCTGGGGCAGGAGCCACATAGCTTCCTAGCACAATGCTCCAGCATCCCAGCCACATTGTCGCATTCAAAGCGGATCCTACAACCTCAAGCCTGATAAAGGCACAAAGGGAGACAGTGCAGGGGCTTGGCCACAGGGACTGGGACACGGGGGCAATGGCCAGCTCTGTCTTTTTCCTCCAGGCCCCTGCTCCAGTCCTCATCCCAGCCCCACAGATGCCCTTGACTGTGCACCCTAATAGCGCCTTTCACATCACAGTCGGGGGTCGGGGTAACCAAGGAGCATCTCCTTCCTACCTCCCCCTGAGGTCACCTATAGCCTTAAACCCGGATGTCCTGTGGGCTGCTGGACAGTGGACCTTTAGGGACTTAGCAGGGACCCTGCTACTCACCCCTCTCCTGGGCAGGCTGAACTCCTGGAAGACAGACCCACACCCAGCCACAGCTGTGCCTGCCATCCAAGGGCAAGCTTGTTTCTGTGGGAAAGCAGCCAGCCAGCTTACAAAACAACCCGTTTGTCATCTGACTGCTTGGAAATGGGTTGTAATGACGCTAGGTGTTCATTTTTGGGAAATCATGTGCTTAAAATCCAAAATTGCCTTGGCCTTGATTCCTGTATGGGTCCCCAGGGGGCACTGAATCAGACTATGAATCCACCTAGATTGGTTCATGACCTTGCATGTGTGATCCTGCACACACACTCCTGGATCCCAAAGATATCCAACTCCCAGAGACCCCAGAAACCCATGCTTTGAGGAGCAAGGCAGTAGGGCAGAGCCACACTGCCCCTTCCGGCTTGGGCCAGCCCCTTGGGGATCCATGAGCTCTGAGATTCCAGAGGAACACTTCTGGGGAAGACACAGGCCCTTGCCCTCCTGTCTGCACACTTCTGTCCCTGTCCCTTCCTGTCTCACTGTGCTGTGTCCTTTTATCTACCTCCTCCAGGAAGCCTTAGGTTCCCTGATCACCCTTAGTTGATGTGTCAATGATGCAGCTGCATCTGGTTTTTCATTGCTGGCTGGTAAAGTTGACCATGACCTTGTTGAATGTTGATCACTTTGGCTTCAGGTAGAAGTGTATAAGGCCAAAGTCCCTGGGATCTGCCTTTATGAAGTTGCCGTCTGGTCCTCAGAGCCCAGTGTGTTGCATGTGCACAGTGTGTGTAAAGCATGGAGCAGGTGTCACCAGTCCCATGGAGCCCATGGGATTCTGTTTCTCAGATGCATCCTTTTTAAAGCCATCCTGCATGTGCTGTATTCCCCTCTAGATCCAAGATCCTGAAGCTACAAAGCCCTGAAGTTTGAAACCTCCCACCCTTCTGCATTGTAACTAAGAGAAGAAGGAGGCCCCAGTACTACCAGAGCCAGATGCCTGGTTTTTCAGTTCAGCAGTTCCACCCATGATGCATATGGGGGAATTGCAGAGCCTGCAAACTAAGAGCTCTGGGGTCCCCTTCCTTCTTGGGAGAAAAGAAAAAGGTATAACTGAGCTGCCCCCTCGGGGTCACTTGACTCCACCAAGTCATGTCCCCTGTGCTCAGTCCAGGGAGAGCAAGACAATCAGACTGATTCTCTGTTATCAGGAAGTAGGGGTGGACTGGGAAAGCCAAGGTCAGGCTGGAATAGCACAAAGGGACTAAACAGTCATCCTTGTCATGACTCTGCTGCCTGGGACTGAGCTGTATAGGAATGACCTAGGAGATCTCTGGTCCCAGGCAAGCACTCAGGTGGCCTCAGGGAGGACGCAGAACTCCTGTGATAACAGAGGTGTGAGCCTCTGTCTTCCTGTCCTTGTCCCTCACCTAACAGCACAGCCGCAGGGCTGTACCACATCCTGGCATGGTGTCTGTCGAGCCTGGCTTATACTTGGTGCCCGTGCAGTTAGGCCCACCTTGGGAGCTGTCTAGCATTTCTCCACAGCCGCGTAGCACCCTTTCTGTGAATGTAAGGCAATTAACAAATGCCCCATTGGTGTGTGCACAAAATGCATATTGCCTTTAAGATGAACCGTGTTTTTATTACTTGTGACATCTAAAGGCATCCCTGTGGTTGCCAAGGGAAGGTAAAGCATGTTCTTTGTACAAAGAGAAAGCCCTGTTAACAGCCAGAGCCTGGTACCTGTCACATCATGCCCCTCTCACCTGGGGATACATCAGGAACAGAAGTGTGCACATATTTTGCTCCTGTGGATTCTCACTCCCCCATGAGGGAGACCCCAACTCACTTCTAACTGGAGAAGGTGATGATGGTGATGATGACCTAGTGTCAGGGAGCACTCATTGCCCACAGCCATTCCATCCTGTCCAAATGCCTTGTGGTTGTGTTTGCAGCTGTGGGCAGTCACCCACCCTCTTGCTACCTCCATTTTTTTTCTGCTGCAGACTGGGGCTCGTGTGAGTTCATGCCTGGTGGGGTTGTTCCAAGGTCATGGAGCAGTAGATGAGAGCCAGGTCAGGCCACGGGTGCAGAGGCCGGTCTGGCTTGTGCACCTGCCCCATGCATTGAAGAGCAGTGTCCTTGCTTCCGCCTCTAGGAGCTCCAGCATCAGGAGCGGCCTGGGCTGTGTCACACAGGCAGCAGGAGATACATCCTCAGGGCCCCTGTCCCACAGGAATGGTTTATTCTCTCTCCCCAACAGGGTGTGGCCACTGTAAGAAAATGAAACCCGAGTTTGAGAAGGCGGCGGAAGTCCTGCATGGAGAAGCTGACGTAAGTTTCCCTCTTCTGCCTTCCCTGTCCCCTGACCTGCTGCATCCTTACAGGGACCTTCCCGTGTAGCAACTCCCATGTACCCAGACATGTGTGTGCTAGATGGAGTGGGGCCCTTGCCAGGGATCAAGGAGAACAGAAAGCCTGTGGGATCACAGTACCATTCTGTTTCAGGCAACCCCTGCTTTCTGTCCCTCTTGTCTGGCCATTAGCTATTGGGAGCTGCTGTGGTTGGTGGGGCAGAATCCAAAGCCTCGTAGCAACATCTAAGTGAGCCATGATGGACAAGCCCACATCCGAGTGGTTCCCAGAAGCAGTCACCCCAGAGAAGATCCCACAGGCCAAGGAAGGCTTGGGAAGCCAGCCACATCTGAAGCTGTAATACACAGTTGACCTCTTCCCCCCCTCCCCAATCCTAGAGCTCTGGTGTCCTTGCAGCTGTCGATGCCACCGTCAACAAGGGCCTGGCAGAAAGATTCCACATCTCAGAGTTTCCCACACTCAAGTATTTTAAGGATGGAGAGAAACACGAGGTACCTGCACTCAGGACAAAGAAGAAATTCATTGAGTGGATGCAAAAGTAAGTTGTATGGCCTTGCGCGTGTGTCTAGCCCAAGGAAATGCTGTCAGGAGCCAGGACAGAGGCCACCAGGCGCATACTGACCACTGGCCCCATGCCAGCCCAGCACCAGCAGGTGCACCTTTACCAGGTCCACTAAGCCACAAGCTTCCTTTCCTCCATCTCAGCCTCTTTAGCCCCAACTTTGTCATCTTTTAGTCTGTCTGCTGTGAACAAATGAGACACATGCATAGCTCTCTCTATCCCAAGGTGGACTGGGCCTCTTGTGGCGTTGACCTGCAGGCTGCTGCCATTTGGGGTTGAGCATAGAGAGGTGGAAGAGCCTCCTCAGGCTGTGAGTGTTCTAGAATGGAGCTCTGGGAGTTGGAGGGGGAAGGTCCAGGAGCCAGGCCAGGTGAGGTTTCTTCAGAGGCCTTTCTCCTTGGCCATCTTCCACCTGTGCCTTCACACAGTCCCTGGCTCCATTGATGTCTGTGATCCTGGCTTGTCACACCTGTTTGTACCTCATCTTCACTCCTTTGAAAGGTTGTGTCTTAGAAACACCCACATTCTGAGCTCCTGGGGGCTAGGGCTCCAACACAGGAATTTTAGAGAGACATGGTAGAACCAACACAGCCCCAGCAGTACATGGAACCTGGGCAGCTTTGTGATTCTTGGCCCCAAGTCCTATGCTTGTTCAAGGAGCTTGGAGCCTGCCGTTCTTAGCAGTTCCCTTCCAGTAGGGAGATGAATCAAGTACGTCACCCATAAGCTCAGGAAATGGCGGCAGCCCCTAACTCTGCCAATGTAATAGAAATGGCTGTTACTCACAGTTGAACTGCCTTTCTCCCACCCAGGCTGCTCCCCAGCTCAGCCTGAGCATAAAAGGGTATTCCTGCTTTCAGCACCGGTTGAGAGGAGACCTCTTCTGGCCTTTGCAGGCACACCTGTGTGAGAGCCACAGGCGAGCATGGGAGCAGGCAGAACCGCAGCTTCTAGGTGAAGTCACTTTGTGAGGACATGGCAGCATCTACATAAAGCACGGATGCTGGGACTCCTGACCCTGAAGTGCAGACTCTGGAGGAGTAAAGGGGCCCTCAGCTATGCTGCTTTGAGAAATATAGGCTGATACAGCAGATTTAGCACTGGGCCCAGGAGAGGTCATGGCCAAGGTCCTGGCCTTGTCTCCTCCCACTCATTCACAGGGGAGGAGTCTGTCTGAGAGATGAGAGAGGAAGGTACAGGTGGTTTATTCACACCTGTTTCTCCAGCCTGATTTGGGGAAAGACTGAGTGAGATAGGAGATTTGGAGGTGTCAAAGTTGAGGGGCTCAGGAGCACTGCACAGGGCTGCGGAGTCCTGGACATGAGCAGTGAGAATGGAGAGAGCCTGTTTGTCATTCCAGTCTGTCAAGTGGAGGCACTGCTTTCCCCATGGGCTTATCTGGCTGAAGTTGGACTGTGGTGGAAGGCACATGGAGGCTAATGTCCCAATTGCTTCTCACCGTCATGGGGTTTGAGTTGACAGCATCAGCGCACGAGTGACGACACCTACTGCTTTTGCATGATGTTTCCTGCCTTTCGCTGCCTTTCATCCTTCAGACCCACTGAGGCCAGCATTTGTTTTGAAATTTTAATAGATATTTATTCATTTATTATTCATCTGTTTAAAAGGGAGACAGAGATCTTGCATCTGCTGATTTCCTCTCCAAAGGTATGCAACAGCCAGAGGTGGGTCAGATCAAAGCCAGGAGCATGGAACTCCATCTGGGACACCCATCTGGGTGGGTGGCAGGGACCCAGTGCCTGAGCCATCACCTGCTGCATTAATTAGCAGGGAGCTAGATCTGAAATTCTGGGACTCAGACCAAGTACTACAGTATGTGATGGAGGGTTTTAATGGCTGTACAAGCTACCCTCCCTGGGGCTAAGTTTATTACCTCTTAGTTGATGAAGAATCTTATTCAGAGTTAGGTTGGGCCCCTGTCTAAGACAAATGGTGGTTCTTGGAGGAACTTGGAAAGGACCTTCAAAGTGGAGCCTGAATAGCAAATGGCCACAGAACTGAGACTGGAGCTGGGCATATGGTGTTAAGTGAGATGCAAGGTGCTTCTAAACATGTGCACAAGTGGCTGGGCTGCAGGTAACTGAGAGGCACCAGTAGGTGCTGGGATAGGGAAGGCAGAAAGGTCAAGTCAGGGGTGTTGACCATAGGGTCAGGAGGGTGAAGAGAGGGCCAGCTGAGATCCCTAGCATAGAGTATGGTTAATCAGTGTAGAGAGCTGGGTGGGCATGCTAGAGGCAAGAATGATCTGTTCTGAGATGAACCATGTTGGGTTGGAGGCAGCAATGGGACCTCAGACTGCAGACACCTGCAAAACACCCAGAAGTGGGATCCAGGTTATCCACAGCTGAAGTCGCACAGAGGATTGCAAAGGCTTCCAGGACAGATAAGAGTGGGGTGCTGCAGACCCTTGGGTGTAGAAGGCTTCCAAAAGATGGGGGACTGGTGTGCCTGGTGGTCACAACCAGGGTGAGGGTACAGGGGCTGTGGCATGAGTGCAGGAGATGGCATGGCAGCCTAGGTGCAGCCTGCTCCCCAGAGAAGGAATGGATGGAAAGAAGGTTGTGGAGAAGGGAGCAGGACAGCAAAGGCTCTCAAAGACCCTGGGGTCCACATCAGTGGGCAGCAGAGGCCAAGAAGAGGCTGGAAATGAGAGGCAATTGCTCTTGGTTATCACTTCCCTAGGGTCACACAGCTAGATTTGAACCCGAGGCCCACTTTATTCCTAGGCCCATGTTCTCGCCACCAGAACAAGGCTTGGGAGCGGAAGACCACTTAGACTCCCCAAGGCCTCAGGAGGGAGGTGCTTAGAAGCTAGATGGAGGAGGGCCCTAGGGAGTCAGGTGGAGGAGGGACCAAGGAGTCAGATGGAAAAAGGGCCAAGGAGTCAAATGGAAGAGGCCCTGGGGAGTCAGTTGGAGGAGGGACCAGGGAGTCAGGTATACTCATGATAAAGTGATGGTGGCCCTTTCCCAGAGAGACTACCTGTCCTGCAATTGATCAGCTCTGTCCTCCAGCTCCCACCCAGTGGGCTCCTCACAGAGATTCACAGTACCAGTGCTGACCATGTGTGTTTTGGTGTGTGTTTGTCCTGAAGTTTGAGGTGAAAGTTGAGGTTTCTTCCTGTATACACCCCAGCAGCAGGCATGTGCCACCCACTGCTTCTCCTCATCCTGCTGCCCCTCTCTTCTTGCAGCCCTGAGGCGCCCCCACCCCCAGAGCCCACTTGGGAAGAGCAGCAGACAAGCGTGTTGCATCTGGCAGGGGACAGCTTCCGGGAGACCCTGAAGAAGAAGAAGCACGCCTTGGTCATGTTCTACGCCCCTTGTAAGTGCCCAGCTGCTACCCGAGGTGACTGGCCTGGGTGACTGGCCTGGTTGAGCCATGGGTCAGCTCCAGTATCATCTCTACCACGAGCTAGGCTCCCTGATTTCCTCTATGCTGGGAGGTCCAGCATTCCCCTCCTGCAGCCTTCAGCTCCTGCCTGTGCTCAGGACCCCTCCCCTTATGTCTCTGCACTTGCCCCTGACCCAGCCACTTCTTCACACCCAACCTCCCTCTGTTTTTGGGAACCTTAGGTTTCCCTGAGGCTCTGAAGCTGTGGGGTTTGGAAACGCCCATGTTGTTCCCACATTAGTTATAGCTTAAGCTGAGCAGGTGGTTTGTGTGCCAACACTGGTGTCTGTGACCTTGGACGTCTGTGCGTTCCTATTTTGAAGTCACTAATTGACACTTGGAAGGCAAGGGTCTCAGAATTCCACACTCTGCAGTTGCCCTTCTCTCTCTCATTCTCTCTCCCCCAGGTTATGGCTCAGCTTAATGGAGTAAGGATAATAAAAGCCGCTGTCCACAGGGAAGCCAGGCGGCTCGATCGAGTCGTAAATCTACTCACCCGCCTGTGGCGCTTATGGCCGGCCCCACTGTGTGCCTCCCACACACACACTGCTCAAGTATAGGCCACCTGCTGGCTGGGTGACCCCACCTAATGTCCCTGTCCCTCACCTTTGGCTGCTTCCCAGCGGGGTTCTTGTGCATGCACAGGTCCATCTGCCCTGGGAAGTAGACTTGGGAGCCAGGGTGTTCTCTCCACTGCAACTGAGAAACTGGCCAGAGAAGTAGGACTCCTTGGCCAAACCCTGGGGGGTTGTCACCAAGTCCAGGCTAAATGCTTTCCCTCAGAGACACCACTCCTGCCACCCTGAACTTCTGCACCAGAGGCATGGCCTTGTGTCTGATCTTGGCGGGGAGAAGGGCCTCATGCTAGACTTGGAGGCAGCCTCCTGCCCTTCTTCCACCCCAGGCTGGTTGGCAGGCTGGTCCTGAATCCCAGGGACTGCCAGATAGGGATCCCAGCCCTGTTGTGCTGCTAGCCCTGGTCCTTCCTTCATTCCTTCATTTATGAAATAATTGCTGCATGCTAGGGAGGCTTTCTTGGCCCAGGATACAAGGGCAGCAGACATGTCCTGGCTGGGTCTCCAGGTTCCCTGGAAAAACAACTCAAATGCAAGCCAATTGTGTCACCAAGTGAGGGAATTTTGACCAAAAGTTTGGTCCTTAGACTTCCCATTTATTTCACCTAATTTTTCCATCCTTTAGTCTTGCCCCAGGGCTCTTAGGAAGGAAACAGGAGAGTTAAGGGGACAAGATCTTTTGAACCTTTTTTTTTTTCACTGATAAAAAATAAAACTCCTGTCGGTTTACAACCTGTAGAAATTTGTGACATCTACCTAATGTGGATTTCCAGATTAAGAATCTAAATATTCTAAGAAGGCCAGATAGGTCAGACACCTGACAAAGCTGTAAAGTGGAAGAAAACTCCACAGTTCACTCCTTCACCCACCACATCCCCCCTCAAACGTCCTTGCCTCCCCAATCCCACCTCTCCCCTCTGCTCCCAGCTGGCTAGTCCCTGGGGCCCCCCGCCTACTGCCTGGCGAGTTCCACACAGAACTGTCCCTTTGGTGTCATTGTCCTCATTACCCTGGGTGTCACTCATGTGCTGCCCTTCTTAGGACCCCTTGGCTGAGATTCAACATTGCCCGCCCTACCCGCTCTTTCTAAAGCCATCTGCCCCAGTGTCTCTCTCTCTCTCTCTCTCTCTGTCTCGATTCTTGACTCGAGAAGCTTCTCGCAATCTTCCATTGATGATGTGGGGAATCTTCACTCACAGTTACCCTTACAATTACAGAAAGTAGACCATAAGAAGGAAGAAGATTGAAAGCTGATGCTGAGGGCAGGTGTAGGTTATTCCCAAGCAGCATGGGCTCCTTGCAGACATGCACTGTTCATTGGGCTCCTTGGCAGTCCTTGTGGCTCGAGGGTTCCAGGTTGACCAGTAAGCTACACCCCTGTAAAGTTTTGGAAATGGCATTCGCCTTCTTCCTTAGCAATCTGTTTCTTGACTTGGTTGGTCTGGTCAGTGAAGAGCTGCTTGTAATCACCATCTTGGTCAATTACAAGGTCACCCACTGTGAGTCAGGCTCTACCTTGTCTTCTGCCATCCTGACCTTGCCTATCACCAGCCCCAGCCCCAGTTTCTCACCACTTGTGCGCTTTGGGAATTGGCTCAAATGCTAACTCAGTTCCAGATCCAACTTGTAGCTTGGCTTTTATTTGGTTTCACAAAGTCCTTTGAAGTACCAGCCACTGGGATCTTATTTTAAAAGGAGAACTCAAATGAGCAAAGCAGTTTCCATTCTCCACCCTACATCCTGTGTCCTTCTCTGAGTCCAAGGCCTGGGAGACCTATGGGACCAGGGCCGGAGGCCAGGCTGGCTTTTTTCAGCACCTTATGGCTGGGCCAGCTCCCCACCACAGGCAAATAGCCTCGCCTGCAAACACACACACACACACACACACACACACACACACACACACACCAGGTTTTGATATGAGCTCAGGACAAAAGTCATCCTGTACTCTTGCTGGCCTGTTGGCAGTGGCTGGGGATTGGTTGAAAGAGGACAGGAGAAGGAAGTGGCCCACAGCCCAGCCCATGTGGTGCCTGAGACCCTCTTACTGAAGCTAGAGGGACTCGGGATGGTACTTACACCATGGGGCAAGATGGCAGGTGGTGGAGGCGCACTCTAGAAGAATGAACATTGCGGCCCCTCGTCCACTCTGATGGGTGGGTAGTGTCCCTGGGCAGGAAGTATCCAGGGACCTGGGGCTGTGTGGAGACCTCCTGGCACCCCTGTGTTGGTATCCAAGTTCAGGGTGACTGTGGAGCGAGGGGTGGAAGGACAGAGTGTGTGGACCTGAGCCTGGGTTGCTACCCAGGGTCTGTGGTGAGGATGGAGACACTAGAAATATGGATGCTAGCAGCTGGGATCTCAAGAAGGGTGGTGGCCTCTAGTAACCCCTCTCTCCTGTCTGTCATGAAAGGCGGTGCACCTGTCTTCCTTTTCTAAGCCCAAGCTCCTTCCCTGGTTCAGGCTCTTCCCAAGGGCAGTTCCTATGGAAGGGACCTGCAAGACAAGACCACAACAGCCAGCGGGAGTGCACCTAATGCTTCCTGCCATGCCCCATGAACAGATAAAATGAGCTGCTAGGGAGAATTTGTGTGGCAGGTATAATGCATGGGCCCTGACAATGGGGTGGCACCAAGTGGGGCTCCTAGACAATCCGAGGTTGTGCAACCCCCTGGTCTCTGCACCTCCCTGACCCTCCCCATGTCGTGCAGGGTGCCCACACTGTAAGAAGGTCATCCCCCAGTTTACCGCCGCTGCTGACGCCTTCAAAGATGACCGGAAGGTAAGGTGCCCTTCCCACCTTGCCCCATGCCAACTTCACATCTGATTCCTACAGCAACCTCCACCTTCCTGATCCAGTCCCCTGTCACCTGTGTTAGCTAAGAACTGCAAGTGGGGGGTTCTTGGGAAACAGAACATTCTCTCCATAACATAAGGTAGAAGCAGAGCAGGCTGATCGGAGCTGCTGCAGCACATCCCTGCAGGAGAGGGATAGTGAAAGGGTCATCTGTGTTTGTAGTGCTGGAACCAGGACTGTAGTCATGCATTGCCTGTAGAATTAAAAATACAAATAAAAAAAAGCAGGAAAAGGCAGCTGGAGGAGGCAGCCGTGGAGGAGAGCCAGGCTTTGCCATGCTGCAGCCGCATCCTGCCTGAGTGAGAGGTTCCTGCCGCTGCCAACTGATGGAGCAGAAAATTAACAAGCTAAAGCCACAGATTGGATTAGGATGGGAGCCATCAGGCATGGCCAGGACAGTGAGGCAGCTGCAGGGAGAGGATCGTGGGTGGCCTCTGGGTTAAGGGCTCACGGGCCAGAAAAAGCCCCCCTGAACTCAGGAACTCATCCCAGCTCCAAGTTTTCCAGTCCCCTTTTTCTCCGTGCCGGTTGGGATGCTCATGTCCTTGACCACAAAGGTGCTTCCCTGATGTACTACAGGGAACTTCTCCCATACCAGGCCTCAGAAGTATGTGGGCTTGCAAACCTGCCTTACTCTCTTGGGAGGGAACCCCAGGCTGGGCCAGAACAGGCTGGTAGCGAAGAAGGCTGGGCATAAGCTAAGCAGGGAGCCCAGCTGAAATCATGAATACCAGGAAGGGCAGGTGATGCCAGGTGAGTAGACAGATGACCATTCTAGGCCATGGGTAGGAATAGGACAGGGTGTCCAGGCTCTGCTCAAGTCCAGTGAGGCCTGCGGTGCCCTCTAGGCCAGTAGAGACAGAGATATATAGGAGCTAGGCACTCCTTGCTAGGCCCTGATGGGATGGGAAGAACCATCCAGGACTTTAAGTCCAAGGAATCTAGGCAGGCACTGATACATGTTCAGGGCAGGGACAAACTGGGAGCAGACTCCCACTTACACCCAGGACCAGGACCCTTCCTGGGCCCAAGGGAGTACTTTGTGTCATCCACAACTCCCCACTGTGTCCTGGGGGAGCCCCTCAATCCTGCCAAGAGGAATTACAAGACGAGAAACATTTCTTCTTCTCCTCCTACCACTTGCCCCACATGGAAAGGGAGATGGTGACGGGAGCCTTTGGTCACCATCCCCACCTACTTGTGAATTGCAGGCCCCTATGTACACCTTCCTGGGAGCTCCAAGGATACAGACCAGACACTGCCTGTGCCCATCCCCAGGACTGTGACTACAGCTGGACCCACAAGGGCTTCCTTCACTCCTCATCCAGAACACTAGGTGCTGTGAGCAAACAAAAGCGTATATGAGCGTTCACAATGCCGTGGACACCAGGAGATCTGGGAGGAAAACTGAAACACCAGCAATCCACAGAGCTTGGGTTGGTTTTTCCTGGCCAGGCAGGTGGTCTCGAGGAGCAGCCCCCCAGCCAAGGCTCCAGGGTAGCCCTGAGACACTGCACTTCAGAGACATGATGCCAGTCCGCCCAACTGAACCTAGCTTGGGCCACCTGAGTCCAGGCCCACGGTGGGTAGCTAAAAGCTGGTGCTTCCTCTTCCTCCTTGGCCCTCTCACATGCCTGGGGCTCCCTTTCCTCAAAGCTTCTTCTCTTGACACTGATATCTCTGCTTAATGATCTTAACGTGGCCCAGCAAGATTGCTGGTCTTTCCTTGGAGTCATTCCCTTTGCCTTTTATTCCCTCTGTTCTTACAACTCCCAAGCCATGGCTCATCCTCAACTGTGGTTTTCCAGAATGCATTGTTTCACCATTCTGTGTAAGACAGCTGACTTGCCTGGGTTCCTGGAGGCAGGAAGCCAACCTCTCTTTAGCCTGGGGACTGACATGAGTGGTGCCCACCCTGTGAATCTCAATGGGGTCATCCTACAACTCTGGGGCATGTTTCTAGAAAGCAGTGGTTTCTAAGAGCTGGCTTTTGTGCTGGCCCAGGATGTTGTGTGGGGCAGCTGACTTGTTCAGCCTCTCTTCTTCCTTGTGTGTGATTGAAGCTGAAAAAGGAACTGAGTCTGTGCCCAGGGCTGCCCAGTGAGTCATCGACAGCCAGAACTGTGTCTCCTGGCCTTCCTGCGAGCCATGCTGCCACCTCTTAACTGGAATTTTTTTTTTCTCCTCCATCTTCTCCCTCCCAGGATCCAGTCTCGGTTCTTTCCCCCAATCAATATGCAGTTGGTTGTTCACTTCCATTTTCATAGCCAAAGTCAATATTAGCTCCTGCAGAGATTTATTTTACTGAATCAATAAAGCTGTGTGAGGCAGCTCATATTTTAGCTGGGGAGCCTGTGCCACCTCCCAGGAGCTTGCTTGGGGACGTTATCGGTTGACACACTGGTGGAGAGAACTGCAGACTGTTAAGTGTCAGGATAGATGGTGTTACTGAAGGGTCATGGGGGACAAGCCTCCATGGTAAGTAGCAGGTGGGCTGTGGCAGGGATGACCTTACACCGCACTACAAGGTGTACCCAGCCTGGGGGTGGGCGGAGAGAGGCCAGCAGTGCAGCCCTTGAGCCGGCATGGCTCACATCACTGTCTTCTCTGACAACATGTATAGATGTTTACAAGGCTGGCGCTCAGCTTATCAGCAGGCAAAGCTCCTCAGGGCAGGCTCTTCCTTGGTTTTAGAATCCCCCACAGTACTGACACCTTAGAGCTGTGCCCATGCTGGCTGCAGGAGGGGACAGTCACCTATTTCTGGCTCTTAGAGAGCATAGGTGAACAGCCCCAAACTCCTCAGCTGGAAGGAGCAGCAGCATCAAAGCAATGCACCAATAACAGGGGCACCGTTCTGCAATTCTGGGATGTGTTTCCAGAAATCAGTAATCTCTAAGAGCTGACCTTGGTGCTGGCCTTGGGATGGTGTGGAAGGACATTATCCTCATGTGACCAAGTCCATTTGGATGTGCAGATCCTGGCAGAGTCTGAGCTCTTCCTAGAAGACAACCTCTGCTCTGGGGTCTCACATGAAGGCAATGGCGCCAGAGGGTACCAAGGAAGTAAGACAAGAAAGGAAAAGGACCCAAGCAGGTGTGTGATAGGCAGATGACCATGAGTAACAGGCTCAGCTTTCACCAGGACATGGTGCTGTCCTGCTCTGGAGCAAGCTGTCCTGCTCCAGAGCCAAAGAAGCCAGGGTCCCTCTCCTTGACTTTTGCCTGTCACCAGCCATTACATGAATCTTCTTGTGGCTGCGAAAAAACTCTCAGGCTGACAGTTGCAGGTGCTGTGACAAGTGCTAGGCCAAGCACCAATAGCATGTGCTCCAAGAATTCGTGCTAGCTGCTGCAGGACACAGGCAGAAGTTGTAGTGTTTGTACGGTAGGGTTAGTGCAGGTCTGGAGTGGGTGTGAGTGGTGAACATTCAGATAGAACTGGGGAGAGTGGAACACAGGTGCATGAACTGGTTTCTTTCCCAGGAGTCCAAGACACTCCCCTGTGGCGGGACATATGGGCCCAATTTCCCATGGGAGGAGTGGAGCACAAATGCCCTGTGTAGCTGAAAGTTGCATTCCATAGATAGGACTGGTGGCTAGTTTAGGTGATTCAGAAGGAGGATGTTTTTTAATTTTGCAGATTTATAAAATCACACACTGCATTTCCAACAGCTGCAGGGCATGTCTACAAATTATATTCATAATTTAAAGCAGATGCAGAGAGAGCCACAACCCGAGGCAGTGCACATCAAACATTTCCCGGCATGGTGGAAAAGCAGCAGCCGCTGGCCCGGAGCTAGACACAGCAAGCCACAGCTGCCGGCTCTGCGGGATACCCAGACCCAGGGGAGCACTCCCAAAGTGCCCTGGAGGGTGAGCCAGGGCCCTCACGAGCTGTACGGAGCAGCCTACTGACCCGAGTGAGCTGTGCTATATGTGGGTGCTTAGCCTGCTCGAAGAGACAGATGCTTCTCTCCTGCAGCCAGTTGTCACTCCAGGGCAAGTGCCATCCAATCCCCTGACTCTGGAAGCAGAAGAGCCAAGTTTTTATATTAAATCTGGCTCCCTTTCTATGTTGGCAGCAGCTAATTTTTTTTTTTCTTACTCTGAGTGGGCCAAATAGAGCAGGACTGAGAGCCAGCTCCAACTGGAATGCGGCAAGTTTGCAAACTCTGCCACGCACACTCACACAGCCTGTGTCCTGGGAACGGGAGGGAAACACGAGGGTGATGGATGGCAGAGTGACTGTGCTGGTCACTCAGGAGCAGGTGTACCTCATTCCTCTCTCCGACTGCTCCCAGAGCAGCAGCCTGCTCACTGAGTTCTGGTCTTAGGTGGTCTGCCAAGCTCTCCTATCTGGAAATAGAGTTTTCGTCTAAATGGAAATAGCTGGTATCCACAATGCTGTGACCTCTAGAGATTTAGCAGTTTTGCATTGCCATCCCAAATCTCCTTGTCTCACTTCTTCATTGGGCCCTCAGTGAGCTCATGCATTATCTGGTAGTGCTAGATGATGGCTTGGCCAAGGGCACCTCTGTACCCTTGGCATCTAGAACAGGCCAAAACTGCAGCTGATCTGCTGCCAAGGTTTCCACTCATCGGAATTTACCCTTCCCCTCCTGCCTAATACTTTGCCAGCAACTGACCCTTTCCCCAAACTCATTTCTGCATCATGCCCTCTTCTTACGAAAGAACAAACAAGGAAAAGCTACCCAAGATGTGGGGTTTGGGAGACAAGCAAGAAACAGCCAGTGGTCAATTGGGCACCCCTTGCTGACTGAATACTAGGATTGCCCTGCCATTCTGAACTCCCCTGGAGTCTGGAGGGACTGCCCTGCGCTCTCCTCCTCCCCGACCCTGCCTCCATGCGTGTGATGCACAGTGCACCTACGCCTCTGACTCCTGCACATCATATGGGTCTGCCTCTTTTCTGTTTGGCCGACACCTTGCCCACATTCTTTGAACTCCTAGGGGAGCCACCTGACTGGGGATCAGTTAGACTAACTAAATTAGCATCTGGCATTTACCAACTACTAAACTTATCGTGCCAGATTCTGTGCTGATTGCCCCCGCTCCAATGACCACCACCTAAATTTTTGTGCTTGGTCTTCAGAATAATGCAGTAACCTGGATGTTGTGGAGAGGGGGTAAATTATTTTTTCCCACAGATTTATTTATTTTTGTTTGAATGGTAGAGTTAGTCTACAGCCAAACTACTCTGAATGCACTCAATGTCATCTGAAAGGCAGAGTTACAGAGAGAGAGAGACAGAAAAAACAGATATTTCCTTCTGTCTGGTGGTTCACTCTCCAGATGGCCGCAAGGGTTGGAACTGGGCTGATCTGAAACTGGGGACCTCCTCTAGGTCATCCATATGAGTGCAGCAGCGCATGCACTTTGACCATTCTCCACTGCCTTCCCAGGCCATTATCAGGAAGCTGGATTGGAAGTGGAACAGCTGCGACTTCAACCATCAGTCATATGGCATGCTGATGCCACAGGCGAGGCCTAACCCCTCTACCACAGCACCAGCCCTAAATGTTATTGTTATACCTATTTTATAGCCCAGGAAAGCAAGGCACTGGGAGTTAGGTAATTTTCCTTAAGTCTTTGGGAAAAAAAAGATTTATTTATTTGAAGAATTACAGAGAGGGAGACATGCACACATAGAGGGAAGACTTTCTATCCACTGGTTCATGCCCAAAACAACCACAACAGCCAGGACTGGGCAGACTGAAGCCACGGGCTTCTTCTGGGTATCCCGCCTGGGTACAGGGGTCCAAGCACTTGGCCATCTTCCTCTACCTTCCCAGGAGCATTAGTGGGGAGTTAGATTGGAAGTGGAAAAGCCAAGACTAACCAAGACCCATATGGGACGCCAGCATTGCAGTTGACAGCTTTACCTGCTGTACCACAATGCCAATCATGGTGTTCCTGAAGTCTTAATGTGCAGCAAACACATCAAGTTTTGCACCTGGGGAGCGCAACTTCAGAACCCTTCCCCTACTTCCTGGCGCGACCCCACCCCCACCAGCAAATGTTTGTGCTGACCTGCCCTTACCCCACCCCATCTCCAGATCGCCTGCGCTGCCGTGGACTGTGTCAGAGACCGGAACCAGGACCTGTGCCAGCAGGAGGCCATCAAGGCCTACCCCACTTTCCACTACTACCACTATGGCAAGTTTGCTGAGAAGTACGACAGCGATCGGACGGTGAGTCGGGAGAGGCCGCCCGCCTGCCCACAACTCCGTGCATGAGCTCCTACAGTGTGCTCTCCTCACCGAGTCCTGCCTGAGGAGCTGTCCCCAGGGTCCTGGGTGTCAAGAGCTTTCCCGTCTGCATCCTCAGGCAGCCTGGCCAGTTCTGCCCACCTCTCTGCAGGGGTGACACTCAGCGAGGGAAGGAGCATACCTGTGGTGCAGACTCAAGCCGTTGCTCATGCACGCTCTCTTGCCTTGCAGGAATCAGGATTTACTGATTTCATTCGAAACCTCCGAGAGGGAGATCTGCAGAAACTAGGGAAACGGAAGGAAGAGCTGTGACGGCTGTCTTCCGGAAAATTTTCCCATCACACTGTGAATGATGCCCATTTGTTGTTCTTTCTGAATTACCATATGTTCCAAGGACAACCTTTTTTATAGCCACTTGTGGCCGTTTTGTACAATTTTGAAATAAAATGAATCCTGTTACTTGGTGGCATGGCTTCTTGTCACGGTTCACCTGTACCAGCAAGGATGGTTCCTCACCTCTTCCCTCCTCTCATGCCCTCTCCCAGGAGGGGGAGAAGCCCCAGCTGCAGGAGGTAGCTCCCTGGCACGGTTGATGGCACTGGGTGCTGGCTCCACCTCCCAGCCACTAGAGCAGGATCGGGGGTATGGACCACCAAGTTTCATCTGGAAGTGACTGGATATGAAGATGTTGGAAAGCTGAGCTGCTGATGAACCGTAAGCAAGCATGGGCTGCCCTGAGTCATTGCCAAGTCCACTGGGGGTGTTCCTGCAGCTCATTGAATTACTTCTCTATCTTCTCTTCTTCCCTCTCTCCCACCCCTCTTTAGAGACAGTTAAAGAGTGGCAGGAGTGGGGAAGGGGACCCTGGCTGCCCACAGTACCCACTGCCCGGGAAGGAGGAAGGAATGCTTGCTGCAGAATGAGGCCTGTCAGCAGCCCCAGCACATTCTGGGCACCCTGCTCCAGTTCCTGCCCGTGGACATCTCTTTCCTGGCCTCCTTTGCCTTCTGCAGTCCCTGCATGACTTGCACCCAGGTGACGTGTTTGCTCAGTGACAATTTCTCCATCCATGGTCCTGTGGTAGAAGGAGAAGCAGTCCCAGGCTTGGATTCCAATGACTCAGAGGGATGTGGCCTGCAGGTCCAGCACTGCCTTCCTGCAGCAGCTGCAGTATTCCCTGCTGGTGAGCGTCTGGACCAAGCCCCTCTGAGCCTCAGGTGCCTGGGAAGATTGTGCAGACCATGGTGCCACAGTGCAATAAGTGAAAGCAGGGTTTTAAAGGCATGCTCGGTGCTGGTCTCCAGCATTCCCAGTTCACCTACCATTGATTCAGCCGCTTTTCTTTTCCTCTGAGCTCACACCACCATACTTCTCCTGAGCTCCTGTCACGTGAGTCTTGATACCAGAACCAAGGTATCATGCATATATGCCCTGATCGGTTAGGTACCCATTTCCACAAGGCACCCTTGAGAGTGGCTGTCAGGAGTGCTAACCCTTCTTAGGCATTACATTTGGTGCACACTTGCTAGGTGGCCGACATCACTCCTCATCATCCCAAATATAAACCCTATGTCTCGTAAAGAATAATCCTCCATTCTCCCATCTCAATCCTTAATGGTAACACTCTACGATGGGTCTCTATATATTGTATTCTGGAGTCTCAGGTCAGAGAAATCTTACAGCATTTGTCCTCTTGTATCTGGCATACTTATCCTAGGGCAGTGTTTACAAGGACCAGCCGTCCATGTGCAGCATGAATTAGACGTTTATTGCTTTGTAAGGCTGAATGCTGTGCCGTATGAAGGTGCCACGTCTTGATCTGTTTGTCCATGGGTGGACATCTGGGTCATTTTTAGTGTTTGACTATCATGAGTGTTTGACATGCTAAGCATGTGAGTGTAGAAATAGCCCTGCTGATAGCCTCCTTCTAATTCTTTAGAAAATGGAACTGCTGGAATATAAGTGATTCTGTTTCATTTTCTTAAAGTTTATGTATTTGAAGGGTAGAGTAACAGAAAGAGATCTTCCATCGGCTGGTTCATTTTCCCAAGTGACTACAATGGCCAGGACTGGGCCAGGCTGAAACCAGGAGGTTGGAGTTTCTTCTGGGTGTCCCATGTGGGTGAAGGGGCCCAAAGACTTGGACCATCTTCTATTGCTTCCCAGAATGCATTGGCAGGTAGCTGGATAGCACGTGGAGTAGCTAGGACTCCAGTTGGCTCTGCAGTATAGGATCCAGGCACTCCTAGCTGTGACTTAACCTGCAATTCCTCCTAGCTGTAACTTAACCTGCTCACCCCTGTAGAAGGTTTTGAAGTCAAGAAGTATGAGTCCTCCAACTTGGTTCTTCAAGATTGTTTGGATATTTGAGGGTTCATGTGTCTGTGCTATTTACCATCCACATAGACCAGCATAACCATCACTGCCATCAAATGTAAATCTAATCGTTCACCACAAAGTTTCTCCAAGGCTGCCCCTTCCTGGTCACCCCCAGTCTCTCCTCTCCCCTGAGCCATGAGAGCCACCATCCTGTTTTCCACCATTGTAATTTTGTTACTAGGGAATACAAATGGAGTTATGCAACATGGAATCTTCAAGACTGACTGACGTCTGTCACGAAGGCATTTAAGTTGTTGCAAGAATCAATTATTTGTCCTTTTTATTGCAGAGAAGTATTGCATGGTATAGATGTGCTGTGGTTTGCTTAACCATTTCCTCCATTAAAAGGTATTTTGGTGGTTTCCAATCCAAGGCCTTTACACATAAAGTTACTAAAAATATAAAGTCATTACTGTTATTTGTGTACATAGATTTCAAAGGCAGAACAACAAAGAAAGAGAGACCGGGAAGAGGAGAGACAGAATCTTTCATCTACTGATTGGATTCACCACTGACATTGACAGCCAGAGCTAGGCCCAGGCAAGTCCAGGAGACAGGAGCTCCACCTGGATCTTCCACATAAATGTCGGGCTCAAGCACTTAAGCCACATCATCCACTGCTTTCCCAGCTTCATGAGCATAGAGCCAGATCAGGAGTAGAGCAGCTGCGACTCGAACCAGCACTCCAGTATGGAGAGCCGGCATGGCAAGTGGTGGCTTAGCACGTTGCACCACAACATCTTTCTGAGTAAAGCCTTTTGCATAGATGTAAGCTTTCATTTCTGTTGGATAAATGCCTGGGAGTATGATTGTGTTTAGTTTTGAAGGAAACTACCAAACTTTTTTGTACCATTCATATTCTCACCAGCAAGGCATGAGGTCCAATTTCTCCAGATCCTCACCAGCATTTATTATTGTCACTACTCTTTTTTTTTTTTCTTTTTAGTTTTTTTTTTTATTTCTTTTTTTTTAAAGATTTATTTTTTTATTATTTTTTTTTTATTGGAAAGGCAGATATACAGAGAGGAGAGACAGAGAGGAAGATCTTCCGTCCAATGATTCACTCCCCAAGTGAGCGCAACGGCTGATGCTATGCCAATCCGAAGCCAGGAGCCTCTTCTGGGTCTCCCACGCGGGTGCAGGGTCCCAAAGCCTTGGGCCGTCCTCGACTGCTTTCCCGGGCCACAGGCAGGGAGCTGGAAGGGAAGCAGGGCTGCCGGGATAGAACCAGTGCCCATATGGGATCCCGGGCGTGCAAGGCGAGGACCTTAACCACTGCGCCACCGCGCCGGGCCCCTGTCACTACTCTTTTTAATTTAACTGTTCTGAAAGGTGTGCAATGGCATGTTAATTTACATTTCCCTAGGTTATGGCTAGTGACACTGAGCATTTTCTCACATGCTTATTTGCCATCTGTACATCCTTTTGGTGAAATATGACTTTGTGTCTCTTGCCCATGTTGTTACGTTGAATCTTGAGGGTTCTTTATATATTCCAGACACTCAGCCATTGTCAGCTATGTGATTGGTAAATATTTTCTCCCCTTCTGTTACTTGATTTTTCATCATTTAGTAAGCTCTTTCAGAGAACAAATTTTTTAAATTAAAAAAAAAAAAGACTTACTCGTGTTATTTGAGAAGCACAGTTACAGAGAGAAGGATAGAGAGGGAGAGAGATCTTCCATCCACTAGTTCATCCTCACCCATGCCCCACCCTACAAAAGGCTACAACAGCAAAGACTGGGCCAGGCCAAAGCCAGGAGCCAGGAACTTCATCTGGGTCTCCCATATGGGTGCAGAGGCCCAGGCACATCAGCAGGGAACTGGATTGGAAGCGGAGTAGCCCAAGAATAGAACCACTGATTATATAGGACATGTGTGTTACAGGTGGCTTAACCCACAGTGCCACAACACTGACAAAGAGCACAATTTTAAAATCTTGATAAAGATCAACATATTTCTTTCATAAAACAAGTATTTTTTTAAAAAACAAAAAAGAATTTATTTATTTTAAAGGTAGAGAAAGAGGTACAGATAGAAAGTTTTAGTCTCCTGGGTCATTCCCCAAATGCACCAAGCTGAAACCAAGAGCCTAGAGCTCAATGTGGATCTCCCGTGTAGGTGACAGAGGCCAAACACTAAGGCCATCTTCTGGCGCTTTCCCTGTTGCATTAGCAAGGAGGTAAATGGATAGTAAAATATTACGGACTCAAACTGGCATCCAGTGTCATAGGGGGCAGCTTAATCCACTGTGCCACAGTGCTGGCCCTAAACCTTGCGTTTTTGTCATATCTAAACGCGCATTAGTAAGTCCTGCATAATATTCAGGCTAGAACCCTGTAGCTGGCCTGTAGAAAAGTCCCATTAGTAACATGGGACTAACATCCTTGAACAGCTATCCAGCAAATTCCTGAGCCAGAGAGCTATTCCAGTGTCCAACTTGTGACTCTTAGCCTTCCTAATGGATACAGCAGAAGTCGAGGTCACATGCTTTGTTGAGAGGGTGACTGCTTCCCTTCTGTCGGAATCACACCTGCTCAGTGAAGCCTTCCCTTTCCTGTACTGTGAGTGAGCTGTCTCCTCCAGGACCCTCGCTGGAATCTGAGCCAGAAACCTTGACATTGTAACTAGAACAAGCAAGTGATTTCCTTCAAGTTCTTAATCTGGTTATTTTTATCCTGGATATCTCTGTTCAAAAAATAATACCTAGCAAATACATATGTATGTAATATGTAAAATGTGCATTTTTGTAATTATTTTATTTTGATAATCTTTACATGGTTGATTAGGACACAAAGGGTCAAGGTCTATAGGACAGTAGGTAAGACCATTGTTTCCACATTTTTGTTTTTGTTTTTTTTTCTGTATCTGGGGTAAGGGAAAAGATAAAGGGAGAAGCCCCACCTAGCCTCCCACCCATCCCAGGTCCACGACTTGGGGCATACTCCAAAAAATATGGAATGCTTTATGAGTTTGCATTTCATCCTTGTTCAGGGGCCATACTAATTAATCTTCTCTGTATCGTTCCAATTTTAATATATGTGCTGCCAAAGTGGGCACTAAAATATGCAATTTTGTGTGTGTTTAGAGAGAGAGAAAAACCATCTGGTTTTCTTGTTTTCTGCTTATTAAAAAAAAAAACTTACTTATTTAATTTATTTGAGAGATAGAGTAAGATCTTCCATTCACTGGTTCACTCCCCAAATAGTGTCAATAGCCAAGGATGAGCCAAGCTGAAGCCAAGAGCCACTGTCTCCATCTGGGCCTACAGCTGCGGGTGCTGGAACCAAAGTCCGAGCCATCACCTACACACTATCAGGAAGCTAACAGAAACGGGATGTAGGCAGAGCGCTTCTTTAGCTACTGTGTCCACACCCACAGTTGACCTCCAGTCTCATGTCCCAGGAATAACCACTGTTATTTGGAGTCTCCCGTATGCTTTGCATGTATAATCTTGTACACATGTATATCTATGCATATGTAGGCATATAGTTTCAGGAAACTTTTCCATTCCAATGTCATATTTAAATCTGTATTTTTCCTGGTATTTTAAAACAGCCTCAAAGTTATTTTTATTTAAGAATGAAGTTGGGCTACAGAATTTTTTTTTTTGGCAAACCACCTGCCCCTATAACATTTTGAATAATTCATTTTTCCTGCACCTAAATGCTACTTTTACGTATAGAAAATTTCAAAATGTATTTGGATGCTGTACTTAATGCCCTGCTGTTAGTCTCTCTATTCTTGTTTCCTTGGCTTTGTGTTTTGTTTTGTTTTGAGTTGTATTTTTTTGCATACTCTTCCAGTTGAGCTCTCCTGACTTGGTTTTCCATTTCTCCCAACCAAGGGCCACTCGATCCGTTCAGCACATTAGTCACCACTTTCTTTAATGGAGGAAGTATGAAATGAAAATTGTGCAGTTTCTCCTCATTCTCTTGTACACTGAGATTGTGGAGTTGGCCTCGCACAGGCAGCGCTTGTCTCCAGACTTCATTAGAGCTGGGGCTTTACTGCCCTACCTTCCTGCTGCCGGCCCCAGTCAGCTGGGTGCTCAGAACCTGCTGCCAGGTGCACCCCACTCCTCTCTTTCCACACACCCTCCTGGCTTCTTCCCATGCTTCATGATCCCCCAAGTACATTGGGCCCTTCTCAGCAGCTCTGCTGTAGCGGTCAGATCACTTGCACTCACCAAGTCCAGAAACATGTTTGGGGGAACTTCCTCAGCCTCTCAGGCCATACGGTGTGCTTTGGCCACTTCAATGCAGAGGACCTTCTGTGGCCATCACTGTCACAGCCTGAGCTACAAGGTACAGAGGTAGCCCATGTTCCTCATGCATAATGAAGAAGAGATGCCCACAGCATCTCTTCCACGGGAAGTTGGGAACTCCAAGGGGCTGAATTTTCTGCAATTGCAGATCTAGCTTCTGCCACTATTCTCTCTGGATAAAGACAAAACCAACAGCCTGACCTGTTCTTACCCACCCAGATGCAATGGTTCGCAATCCTGCCTGTGTGGGCAGCCACCTGGGGAAATTTAAAAGCTGCAAGCCCCAGGGCCCCAGCCCAGAACAGCAGCTTCTGGCGTTCCAGGAGAATCACAGGCTGTTCTACCTGCTGAGATACCATGGGGAGAGGGTTGCAGGCTGCACAACACTGAGATTACATAGATGCCCGGGGGCTCCACAAAGTGTACAGAAAATAGGATTAAAAAATAAATTGATCTTGATGCCCAGACTTTAAAAAAAAAAACAAAAACAAAAAGGTTTTTCAGATTTATTTGAAAGGAAGAATATGAAAGATGGAGAGAGGGACCTTCCATTCACTGATTCGCTCCCCAAATGGCCACAATGGCCAGGACTTGGCCAGGCTGGATCCAGGGACCAGGAGTTTTACCCAGATCTTCCATGTGGGTGTATGGAGCCCAGGTACTTTGGCCAGCTTCTGCTGCTTTCCCAGGTGCATTAGTAGGGAGCTAGATTGGAAATGGAACAGCCAAAGCTTGAGTAATGAGCAAATGGGGTGCTGGTATTGTAAATGGCCTCTTATTTTATTTCTTTTCTTTTTTTTTTTTTTGAGATTTATTTAGCTTTTATTTGAAAGGCAGGTTTACAGAGAAAGAATGAGATACAGAGAAATCTTCTATCCACTTGGTCACTCCCCAAAAGGATATGATAGCCAGAAATGATCTGGGAGCCAGGAGCTTCTTCCAGGGCTCCCATGTAGGTGGCAGGGTCCCATCGCTTTGAGCCGTCCTCCACTGCCTTCCCAGGCCACAAGCAGGAAGCTGGATGGGAAGTGGAACAGCTAGGACTAGAACCCATATGGGATCCCAGCTCCAAAGGCAAAGGTTTACCTTCCTATGCCATGGCTCCAGCCCTGCAAACAACCTCTTAAGCCACTGTGCCAAAACTCTGGCCCCTTTTGAATCCAGGCATAGCTTCTTCGTGATAAAAATTTCCATGAGCTTTTTGAAGGGCCTCTCATATGTTTATATGTACAGAAGTAAGGCTGGAATCAATTGAAAAATCAAAGGGAAGAGATTTCTCCAACAATTTTATTCTGTAAAGACTGCTCTGCTTCTGATTCAGCTCCCTGCTAATGTTCCAAATGCTTGGAACCCTCCACCCACATGGGAGACCCAGGGGAAACCCCTGGCTCCTGGATTTGGCTTTTAGTATCCCAGCTATTGCAGCAGCCGTTTGGGACTGAACCAGCAGACAGAAGATCTCTCTCCCTGTCTCTCCATCTTTCTAACTCTCCTTTTCAAATAAATTCAATAATTTTTTTAAATAGAATTTTTTATGCTCAAATAATTAAGGTGCTAATTTTGCTATCTTTAATTCTCTCAGGAATTGTTTATAAAATATATTCAGTAAGAAGCTGCAAAATCCAAGTATATAGGAGTTGGCAGTGTAGCCTGGTGGATAAAAGCCACTGTTTATAACACTAACATCCCATTTGGGAACCAGTTCATGTCCCAGCTGCTCTGCTTCCAATTCAGTTCTCTGACAATGCTTCTGGGAAAGCAGAAGATGGCCCAAGTGCTTGGGCCCTGAAATCCCCTGGGATACCTGAATGAAGCTGCTGACTCCTAACTTCAACCTGGCCCAGCCCTGGCTGTTTCAACCATCTGGGGAGTGAATGAAAGATCTCCATCCATAACTCTTGTTCTCTGTAACTCTGATTTCCAAATAAACATTTCTGTTAAAGTCCATGCACATGATCCCTACAATATTATTCCCATGCTTCTGAAAAGATCTTGGCTCAAAGACTCAAAGGCAGCCAGACAGGTGACACCAACTCTACCTCTGTGCTTGTGGGAACCAGAAGAATTAGCCAGGAAAAGTATCCTTTCCAAAGGGATTGCAATATTAAGTGTCCAGCTCGGGCTCTAGGCTGGGATTCCACAAAGCAAATGCCCCCCTACACAGGATGTTAAGGCTTTGGCATGCACTGACTTTTGCTCCTGCCAACTCCCAGTTGCCTTCCAATATTCCACCATCTGCAGAAATTGGTCTAGGAGCAAATGGAGACTCTAAGATGGACTATGTCAATCAGTGGATTCTTCAACAACCTCATCGTGCTTGGAGTGGCGAGACTGGCAGCAATTCATAACTGTTGAACTGTCAAAACCACTTGAGCAAGACCAAGACCCTCGGAGCATGCTCCACATCAGGGACCTGGGTTGGGTGGGACTTCTCCCTTAATATCCCCCTTTACCTCAGATACATGAAGGAAACAATATGGAAATAATATTCTTACCCACTTTCCTGTAGCCCTTGAACCTTTTTACCCTAATTAACTATGTAAAGATTGTCAGAAATATAATTTTTAAAAGGAAGAAAGAAAAAAAAAAGAAATTGGTCTAGGTTGCAAAATTGTTTAAATTAAAAAGCCAACATACAAAAGCGTCAAGAGGCTTATCTGAATGGGAGCAGACGTTGCACATTAGAAGTTTCTAGCTTGCTGGGAAATAAAGAGATGTCTTCAGTGGGGAAGTGACTGATAGCAATAGCCTCGAGAGTGACTTTGAGGAGGCAGGCACACCAGCCTGAGTGGGGAAGGAGGTTGTTCTAATATACATGGAGGCAGCTGGGATCTGGGGTGTAGTTGTCCTATGAAGACGATTCAAAAGCCTCAAGGAAAATGGAGTGAAAAGACAAGTAGGAGGAAGCAGAGGGATTTGGCCTAGCAGGTGCACCCCACATCACAGTCCCCTGGCTTAGAGTCCCAGCTCTGCTCCAGATGCCAGCTTGCTTCTACTGCAGATCGTGGGCAGCAGCAGGTAACAGCTCAAGGACTTGGGTCCCTGCTACCCCCACGGGATACCTGGACAGAGTTCCCAGCTCCCACCTTTGACCTGGTTCAGCTCAGGCTGCTGTAGGCAGTGGGGAGTGAATCAGTGGATGGGAGTTTTTTCAGTCTCTCTGCCTCTCAAATCAATAATTTTCATTTTTTTAAAAAAGTTCAAATCCATGTAATGCTTTCATAATGTGCATTTTCTGTGGCCTATAAAGATCGCTTGCACATGTTCAGGTACATCTCATATCCCTACTGGCAGCCTCACCTTGATGTGCCTGGAGTCTCCTAACTCTAAACCTGACTCAACTTCTGTGAGGGAAGCCTACTTCTGGACTCGTCTGTGACTGGAACTTGATCTCCCAGAAACTGTCAGTCAACACTGATCTTTAAGAGTTACATCTCCAAGACCAGTGCTATAGCACAACTGGTTGAGCCACCACCTGGATGCCAACATCCCGAATGGGCACCAGTTTAAGTCCTGGCCATTCCACTTTTGATCCAGTTCTCTGTTCATGTGCCTGGAAATCAACAGAAGATATGTCAAGTGCTTGGGCCCCTGCACCCAGGTGGGAGACCTGGAAGAAGCTCTTCACTCCTGACTTCACCCTGGCTCAGTCCTGGCTGTTAACATCCATTTGGGAAGTAAACCAACAGATAGAAGATCTCTCTCTCTCTCTGTCTTTTTTGCTATGTAACTCTCCATGAGTGTTTGTTGAGTAAATGTTCTAAATCTCACATAGAATTTTATGTTTTATAAA